AGTGAGCATCTTATTTCAGTCTATTCAAATGTTTAGGCAATAAATGTGCTTTTGGGACCTTCCATGTGCCTGACTCTGTACTAGGAGCTACTGGGAAAGTAGACCCACTCCCTGGATCCCTAAGGTCACATCCAGTTATAACCCAGTCTGTTTATTAATGGTGTCATCAGCTTCACTCACAGTTTTTTCTCTCCACTCTCATTTTTTTCTTTGTCTCAAACTCCAATAATTTGCATCATTTTTCATTAAAAATAAAATTTTCCTTATTCCTTAACAGAAACCTTGTATTTTTCTTAACTTTTAAATTAGAAATCAATCTAGATAATATCAAAGTTTCCATTCAGTTCTATTTGCCTAGAAATATAACAGTGTGTTTTCTGTTCTTATGAAAGGAAAATTCACTTTGATCTTCAAAAATAGTAGGGCTGGGGAGTGTGCTGCATCTCCCACTCTGACTGATTCTCCTAGTGAGAATTATTTTTGTCCCTTGTGTGCCTCCCCCACGTCCAGCCTCTCTAGGACCGTGTTTTACAAAAGTCCAGTCTGACCATAAGGGGATGTTCTTCAGAACACTGGTTGGGAGGCTCAGCAGGTGATGCTCAAGTACTCAGTCTCAGGGAGGAGGAATGGGCGGAAGGCTGTGAACCCCCAGAAGTAAACTTGCCTTTTACTTAACTTAAGAGAACATTTGGCAGAGAAATACAAACCAAAACCACAATGAAGTACCACTTCACACCCACTAGGATGGCTATAATCAAGACAATGAAAAATAACAAATGTCAGTGAAGATATTGAGAAATTAGAACCTTCCTGCATTGCTGGTGAGAATGTAGAATTGTGCAGTCCCTATGGAAAATGATCGGGCAGTCCCCCAAAAGGTTAAACATAGAGTTACCATAAGACCCAACAAATCCACTCCTAGGTATATACCCAAGAGAAATGAAAATATACGCTCACACAAAAAGCTATACATGAATGTTCATAGCAGCATTATTCACAATAGCCAAAAAGTAGGAACAACCCAAAAGCCCAAAAACTGATAAATGGATAAATAAAATATAGTATATCCATACAGTGGAATATTATTGGAAATAAAAAGGAATGAAGTATCGATACCTGCTCCAACATTTATGAACCTTGAAAACATTCTGCTAAGTGAAAGAAGCCAGTCACAAAAGACCACGTATTGTAAGTTTCTGTTTAGAGGAAATGTCCAGAATAGGAAAATCAGAATAGGAAAACCAGAAAGTAGATTCGTGGTTGCCAGGGACTGGAGGATATGAGGGAATGGGGGGGTGGGGGGGAGCCGGGGGCGGGAATGGCTAAGAGATGTGGGGTTCCCTTTGAGGTAATGAAAATGTTCCAAAGCTGATTGTGGTGATGGTTGCACAAATCTGTGAAACTAAAAACCATTGAATTGTCCACTTTAAAAAAAAATGAGGAGAGTACAAATATCTTATGTTAAATTATATTCATCATTCTTTTAAAAAATTAAATTCTAAAACATCTTAAAAACAAAACTGTGTGTCGGGGGTGAGGGGATCTGGCCTTTATGTATTTGTAGATACATCACACAAAATTACTTTGTCTAGATTTATGAAATTTGGAGCCTAGCCACAAAGGTTGTGTTTTATTTATACATATTTTTTTCCCCATGTCCTCACCCAGATAATTTGAGATCATAGCCATAACAATCAAGTAAATTCAGATTCCTCCCTACTCCCTTGCCCCAAAACATTTTAGTCTTGTATTTTTTCAAGAGCACTAAAGAAAAGGTTTTGAAACCTAAATACTAACGATTAGTTGTTAACACAGTGGCAACACAAAAGATAATTGCCAGTCTTCTATTTCATACTAATTATCCTTTTTGCCAGCTGATTCATCATGAGAATTAGATTTAGATGCTAGATTCAGTTCCATCCCTAGAAATAGCTCCATGACAACCAAAAGGAATTCCTAATTTCTGGAAAACATTAGTTCAGGAGTATTTTGAGAGTTAAAGTGGTTGCTCAATTATTTAGAGTTCCGGCAATAAGAGAAAGTGGAGAATTAACGATAGAAAAGCATTCCTGGCATTTTATAGCAGTGGGTAACCCAACAGAGAGACAGCTAATGATCAACTAAGAAGGTATTTGCATCTGTGATACGACCTCTGCTCAAGATTCCAAACAGTCATCTCACTTTAAAAACACAGCCTTCATGTCTTCTCTTTTCGTCCCATTTCCTATACCAAGCCACACTCATCCCAGCTCAGGATCAAAAGTAGAGCTTGCCAGCGGTGCTGGTAACATTTTCCCTGTGCCATCAAAGGCTGTTTAGATGTGGAGTCTTTCTCCTTAAGCACACTTAACTTGTGCAGCCAAGATTACTGAAACAAGGAGTATTTGGCAAGGCAAATACATTGTGAAATTTGTTTTAATGCTTTGACTCATGAGTGGCTCTGGGAGCTCAGATTTGAAGCTTTTTATCCGTATTTACTCTGGTGCTCCAAAAGTGTAGCAGTTGAGTGTTTAAAGAAGAGGTCAGGCAAACAGATTCTGGCATTAGATAAAGCTCCTTGAGAACCTGACTTTTGTATTTTCTAGCTAAAATTCTCTGTCATACTTTTTTTATGGAAAATAAAGTACCTATCTTGTAGGATTACTGCGAAGAGTAAACAAAATATCCATTTAAAGCACTTAGCGCAATGCCTGGCTCAGTTACCTATTATGAGAGTGCCATATATGTGGGACTCTCCAGACAAGAAGTCTTTTTTTTTTTCTGCTTTATCTCCCCAAACCCCCCCCGTACACAGTTGTATATCTTAGTTGCAGGTCCTTCTAGTTGTGGGATGTTAGACAAGAAGTCTTGACAGGGGACACACCAAATCCATCTATCCTAGTTCCAGAGGTACAAAGAGCTTCTTTATGAAAAGACACAGAAAGGTTAATCTTTTCTGGGAAATGAATATTTGGATGGACGTCAGGTATTTGATAAAGTCAAAGATGATGACCTAGTAATTAAGAAGAGATTGCTTATTATATATATGGGAAATGACATTAAAGAGAGCTAGAAGATAGGAGAGAAATGGGTACTAGAAGGTGATTGCTATGTAACAGGTCTGAAGAGAATGGAAGATGGAAGAGGGAGAGACACAAAATGCAAATATCCATAGGAAGGTTCATAGGGATAAATAGTCTTCAGTGAAGTGGAAAGCACAGGATGAGGTGGAGAACAGAGTCAGGGTATTAAGAAAGACTGGTGTTTTGTTTTGTTTTTGACTTGTGTGTGAGAGAAGGAATTTTTTTCACCTTTGCAGTTTGAAGTGATTGGCATCAGCCAGGGAAACATGAAAAAAGCAGGAAGAGGGGGTAGGAAAAACAAGATGTGGTGAGCACCAGAAGTGAGTTAAGATCGAAAAATTGGATAACTGAAATCTGGATAATTTGCGATAGAGGCTTTAGAAGTCTCATGTCCTGATACTCTGCTCATAACCAGCACCCAGAGGGAGGCAGGACTAGTAACTGAACTTCTTTTTACTTTGCCTGCAGAAGTCACAAATACCTATTTGGCTCTAAATTTAGGAATAACAGTAGTTTCCCTCCTTTCCCATCCTGGCCAAATGACCTTTCATCCGTCATTTAACTTCTGTGCACATATAGCCATCTTGCTTAGTGGAGATGTTTTGAAAGGATTAAGTGTTGGGGGTAGAACAAATGTTAAATGAAAAATGTCATGGTGTTTAACTCTTATGGCTCTATATGAGGTTGGTTAGTTTCTCTATTAACAGTTCACTTTCTGGCAGTAAATTAGGTACTTTGGGAATCTTCCCAAATTGTTTCAGGCTGCTTGACTCCTTTATCATGTTGAAGAAAAAAATTATTACTGGTTCCCCAGAACATTTATATGTTGTGTGTGAGTTTGAGTACTAAGCAGTTAATTACTCCTATAATTTTCATTCCCATTTTACAGATGAGAAAGCTGGGGTAGAAGGAGTGGTTGTTCAAGTAATCCTAAACTCACAGAGGTGCATGTTTGTCCTGTGACTTCATACCCACAGCAAATGAATGCACTTTCAATGAAACCTAAATGGATTTTGGGGATGTCGGGCAATTTCAAGCCCAGATCTGTGCTCAGCCTCCTTCCCCCTCATGTAGACGCAACCTTATGGCCTATTTAAGACTGAAAGTCTCTGAGTGCTCCTAAACTCTCCTGAAGTCTGAGTGTTCATCTCAGATGGTCATCCTGATTTTATCCCTGGAGTTCATTATTATTGAGTTCTAACGACAGGTCAGATGGAAATTCTATAGCTGAGAAACATCCCAAATTAGAAATACCTGAAAGCAAGAATGACACCAGCCAACAAACCTCATTTCCAAAGAATTGTTAAAACCCTCAGGCCTCATTATAAAACCAAGCCAAGAAGCAGAACTTTATTTATAATCCAAGTAATAACACATGATGGGACAATGGTTTATAAAAACTACAGCACTTCATTTCAAATTAGCTGAGGGCCTATTTTGACCTCCAAAGATCTATAAATATGGCTTAAGAGTAGCAAAGCTGGAACTAGAGCCAGGTCTGCAGACTCCCGTCCACTACACTTTCTATTATGTCAAGAGAAGCTGCCCAGTGGGAGCGTCGGGAGGATATTAAAAAATAATCCAGGATCCTTGTAGCATAAGTGAGGTCTTCTGTTCCAGGGAGAGTTTTGGCTCCTCCAGTTCCCAATACAGTCGTGAGGATTTGTCGCCATGTGCTGGCTGGTTGACCTGAAGATCTCCTTCCGTAGAAATCATTAAAAGATCATAGGCAAAAGTCTGTCCTGGGGGTTCAGATGAATTATCTTCAAGGCAGGAGATTAGAAGATGTCTTATTGATTTACAATGAGATAACTGTTGGGCCTTTAGTTCAAATACCCACAAGCCCCCCTAATCTGTTATTACCGTATCATCCACGTTTTCCACTTATATTTAAACTGAGCTTGTTGGACTAAGGGTGTTTTCTGTTTTATTTCTCAGGTTGTGGTTTCTCGATCAGGATCGTCAACCCCTCATGTGAATTTTCACCTGGATTCCCACCCTGTGTCTCCAGAAGTGATTGTGGAACACCCATTAAACCAAAATGGTTACACACTGGTTGTCACCGGGAAAAAGGTAAGCCCTGTTCCCACAGGGAGGTTTCATGAGTGCAAGTCTTCCTGAATGGATATTTACAGCCAGCGTCATGTGGCTCTTTTTAAACTCTCTCTTCATCCTGGATTTACCTCGCCTCTGTCAAGTTCTTTCTTGAGTATTCCAGAGATCTTCCGAAATCAAGTTAAATTTTTATTCAGGGAAGATTGGACCTAGGGGAGGTTCTCGTCATAATGAGTACTTCTCCTTTTGTCCTGTATTTCTCAATGAGAAAAACAAACACAGAATGAGAATTCCAGTCCTACTGGCAGAACTCTAGGGCAGGGAGATGAATCCTGAAATGTGCACTGGAATCTGATGCCAGCCAGTAATCCCTTTTCTCTGAGAGAAGGAGGTACGTCTTGATGCCAGAATGATGTGTAAACTTACTTAGAATTTCCCAGGGGTCCAAGTGTGTTTTCCAGCAGCTTAAATTATATTCTTGTTATTTTAAAATCGTCTCAGACAGTGCAAAATGTTCCTACTAAATAGAACCTCTAATATTGCATGACAATGCTTGGGTTCACTGGAGAGTAATGTTAACTTTTATCACGTAACAATAGAGGGAAGGAAGGAATTTGATTTTTTTAATATTAATCTCTTAATTATTATATGATTTGCACACAGATTCTGTAAAATTATATTTACGTGTATCTTTGGTGTATTTAGTTTTTATTTAACAAACAAACAACTCCTCTGGAAGCTCTTCCCATCACTTTTCTTCACAGATCACCAAGATCCCACTGAATGGCTTGGGCTGTGAACATTTCCAGTCCTGCAGTCAGTGTCTCTCCGCCCCTCCCTTTGTGCAGTGTGGCTGGTGCCACGACAAATGTGTGCGATTGGAGGAATGCCACAACGGAACATGGACTCAAGAGATCTGTCTGCCTACAATCTACAAGGTAGGAATCTCTGTCTGCTGACGTGTGTGTTTCTTGGTAAACACAAATAGCTTTAATGAAAAAAAAAATCCCAAAATTAATTTTCTTGTTTAGCTGTAAGACGTCAGCCAAAGCACCGTCTCCCTCTGTGTTATTTCTTTAGGGTGGCATTTGGGCACATCCCCCTGAGTCCTGCCCTTGGAGTGTTGACTTCATGCTCACTAAGTAGATTCTCTCCTGGGCAATAGCTCTCCTTTAGTGCCATGTGAATAAAAGAGTGGTAGCTAGTGAGCAGCATTGCTCCCCGTTTCCTCACCCTGGGGCCTGTTCCTGCCTGACTCACCCACTCTCTGATTCCACACTACTCACTTTATCTACCAGGTGCCCAGACATGAGCCTCCACCACACATGGAGATCTGCTCATGGCATAACCCAGAACCCTAAGCTGAACCATGCAAGGTAGAGATCACAGCCATGCTGGGGCAGACAGGACAGAAGTTTTCTTCCTGTCTGACACATAGATGGTGGCCTGGACTCATCACAGATGAGACTAGAGGTTACTTATCAGGATTATGTGGGAGGAAAGTGGATGGTCGACACTCATGAGTAGCTGTGCGCCTTCTCTCAAAATTCCTGGAAGAGCAGTAAAGGAGCAACTGGTGACTATACTAACCTCTGTGCTCTGTGAGCCAATTCATTCCAAAAATATTTATTGAGTGCATACCACACAGCGGGCACTCTTCTAGACACTGGGGGGATACAGTCTGAACAAGACAAAGTGCCTCTTGCTATTAGAGAACTTAGCTTCTAGCAGTGGACTTCAGCCGTGACACTGTAGGCACGCTCTAACTCTCTGTTGCCCTGTTTGCTTAAGCATATATTTGGCACTATGAAAATCTCCCTGGCAGTTTTTTTAAATGTCTTAATCCAAATACACTGTGCTTGAAAATACTTCCCTGCCGAGGACCCAGTGTGTATTTTTTCTGTCTGCGTGTAGAACAGTTGGACTTTAGTAAATAGTTCTTGTGAAAGATTCAAGTTAAAGGTCTTGGTCGCCTGATGGAAGCCCAAGTAAACAAAGTGTGCGAGTTAGAACAAGAGACGCCCCCAGGCGCATAGCTGTTTTCATTTAGTTACGGTTTGGGCAAGATTTGTACTGGATGAGTGGATTTTAAACCAAATCATTTTCTGTTAGGTGTGACACAATTAGTAAGACTTAGCTTGATCAGCCAGAGAATAAACCAGAAGATAGTAAGAAAACAAATTTAAATCTATACTGTAGTATCTATGCAGCTTTTTTTTGTTTAATATACTTTTAAAACTACATGCAATTGTATACTTTTTTAAACACACAGCCTTGGCAATTTGAGACACTGGAAATCTGAACTCAGCTAGTCCGTGAACGAGAGATGGGGAGTGCATACACAATTAAATCACAACAATTTCATTGCAAAAATAGCCAAGCTGGTGTTTTAAATAAAGAGCAAGTTGAGAACCTCTACCAAGGACACATTTCATTTTGACCAATGTAGTTCCTTTTATGAGTCATGAAAGCGATATTAAAATGGTTAAAAACAGAGTAAATATTTTAGAATTTTCTGGAACCAGAGAATCTCTCATAATGTTTGAATCTCTTTCCTCTGTCACCTTTCTTAACTCCAGCACTCTAGTTGGTGATTTTAAAAGGTTGCGTTGCATCCTGCACGAGTCACTGAGGCTTGGGGCTGAACGGTTAGAGGGAAGCGGTGCAACTGAGTCCATAAATCCCTTTCAGTTCATAGTTGTTAGAAAGATTTCATGCTGCACTAGAGCGTGACATTTAGCGTTCTTACAGCAAAAAATAAGATTATTCATCTTTTTCTTATCTGTCTTAAACTCTATAGGCACAAAACGCAGCTAATGTCTAGAGTTTCACTTTCCAATAAGTGTAAGTTAACCTGCTTTTCAAGGTACGTAATGTTCAGTGGCTAAAATTCTTTGCCGTTCTACTTTGGAGAGATTTCAGGATTGCAAGCCCATTATTTTATTTCAAACATGTTATCTGATCTTGTCGTTAAAGAGCAATGAGAAATGCTTCAGAAAAGGAAGAGCATTTTCCAGTGTATTCTGAATTTATTAGGATAAAATTGTCACATCTTGTAGGATCAAATTCAATCCCAGTGAGACAGTAAAACGATTTATTAATTGATCAGAAGACTCAGATAAGAAGCTACAGTGATATCTTATGAGAGGGAGGGGTCGTGCCGGCAATACACTGTCACCAATATATCTGTGACTTTTTTCCTACTGAAGAGGCAAATTTTAACTTTCCAAGGTGTTTTTGTTGCTGTTTTTAGCTTTCTCAGGTATTATCTTGGTGGATTTTGAAAAAAATGATCATTTCAATCATTTTCACCTGTGAAAGGATGATAGCTGTTTTTGTGGCTATTTCTCCCCTAATCCAGACAGGTGGGAGTCCAGCCTCTGTGGCTTTGTACAGACACTCATTTCCTTCCCACAGAGTTTCTCTGCCCTTCAGGATAATTCAGAGTTTGCCAGCCCATTGTTGGTTCTATCCAAGGGTGTGTAGTCCAAGACTACTTCCTTCCTTTTCCCTTGGAAGAGTGAACGTTACCCCATAAGCTAAGGGGAAGATGCTCAGAAGCGCCCCCCTGCCCTAGTATTTCAGCCTGGAAAGAAAAGCTCAGTAGAGCTGGCCTTTTGAATCCTAACAGTCTAGCAGAGTTTTTATAATATCCATTTCTGTTGCCAGTGCACCAATTGAACACCTCTCAGTGTCTTTTCTTGAATCATCACCCACTCCTTTTTCCTTATTTAGAAAGTGATGATGTTTGTGGAGTGACAGACTTCAATTTTTACATAGAAAGCGGCAGGGGGATTCAGGCAGCGGGATCAGGCCAACATCAGCCTTGGGCAGCTGCTTTCAATGGGGGAGCCTCTTCATTAAATGAGGGAACAGCACTGTGTGGCTGCCTTGGGCAGGAGAGTCGGGGAGGGTTAGCTGTCTGTTCTCTCCTACTGGATTTCTAACATAATAATAAACAGATATTTTTCCCCTAGCAGCTCTGATTTGGCTAGACATGCACGAGGTAAGTTTTCATGAAAGGCACACTGTGTAATGGATTTTATGGGTAAAACAGCTATCATAGAAGCATTAAGCTAAGACTTTAAAGGGGTTTGGTAACAAGGGTAAGTTAAGAGTTTGAGTTTGCGATTATTTACTTGGGAGGGATGGGAATGTTTGCAAATTGGAATTTTGCTAAAGACCTTTCTAAATTGTAAAAGAATCACTTGGAGGCTTTCACTAACTGGCCTTAAGCAAATACCTTTCCTGGTTTTTGAGCTGCCTCTGGAGTGGTGCTGTGTTTTCCCACCATTGTACTTTACAGCACAATTTACAATGTGTCCCCCAAAAAGAGCACTTCCTTTCTCAATTGTCACAGAGCTGCTGAGGAGATTATTTTTAACGTGGAAATTTGTTTTGTCGTAATAGTTGTAACCTAAAAACAGTTGTCTTATAGACTTCATAAGAGCTAGTGCCATCTTATGTCACAGTTGCCAAAGTTTAATTAATAAATTCAAATTTTACTTTTAACACACCAAAAGTGAGCCTACAATAATAAACATGAACCTATTGTTTATTTAACATTGAACATGGGATGGGGGAAAAAAATCAATCCTATGTAAATAATGTAAATAAATAAATGTAATTAGAAACAGTGCTACAATACAAATCACATTTGGGGCTCTCTCCAGTTCTTTTTTTATCTCTTTCGAATAGAAATAATATATTGTTTGCATTAAATATTACATCAGTTTGAAAAGGCTAAGTTTGTCAACCAACAAGCTGGTGTATATCAAATAATGACCATATTTAAAGAAAAAAGAAAAATCACAAATCGGTAATAAATGTGAATTAACAAGTGTAAAGAAATAGATTCAGCTATTCATTTATTGGTGCCTGGCACATAGTGGATGATTTATAAAGAATGAATGAATGGCGTATATGTGTGGAATACCACCTATGTGTTTGTTTTTATGATAGCTGCTGAATGCAACTGTGAAAACACTAGATACCAAAAGAGGTATTTTTACTGTGTGACTTTCTTCTCTGAGTGGGGAATACCATAGCAACAAAAATGTCGCACACACCCAGCGGGTGCACAGAGCGGGGCATATATTGGGACTTGGCTTCTAGGGCCCATGAAGGAGGGTTGAGCAGTTTGATCTGGAGGCCCATGAAGGAGTTATAATCAGAGTTATAAGCATGTAAGAGTCTGGGTCCAAAGTGTGTCGTCTTCAGCCTGGAAGATTCCTAGGAGACAAATACACTTCAGAGTGGCCCCAGAAGGCCCTGCATTCGCACCCAGGCTGAATCTGCTCTCTGTCCCATCTCTGGAGCTCGTGGAGACAATTTGTTTCATCAGCATGCCAGATAGTTTTAACATTTGTTCCAGATTTTCTGAAATTTGTGACCCTTTTTTCCTTTAATGAAAATTCAGTTTCTTTAGTTGGTGGGAAAATGGAAGAAGTTCGGACCCTTTGAGGACAGATGTTTTGTTTGTTTTTCATACATATGAAAGATAATAATATACTGGGATTTTTTTCAAGTTCTATGTTGTTCTTGTAGGTTTTCCCAACCAGTGCCCCCCTCGAAGGAGGGACAACGCTGACAGTATGTGGCTGGGACTTTGGATTCAGGAAGAATAATAAACTTGATTCAAAGAAAACCAAAGTTCTCCTTGGAAATGAGAGCTGCACCTTGACTTTAAGTGAGAGCACGTCAAATACGTAAGGAGCTTAAAGTACTTTGCTGGGGTGTGGTGGGAAAACAGGTTTTGTTTTTGAATGAATACTTGTAAAAATTGCCCCAAAAGTCCATCTCTTGAATTAAAAAGGATCTTGGCCTATCCCGTCCCTTGTGGATATGTTTTGTTTATAATCCTATTTCCTTACCACGATTAAGGAGGGAGAAAGATGACATTACCTAGGTGAAGAAGAATCCAGCACTGGGAGTTTTTCAACCGTTTTGTAACAACTCTTCACAAATTGTCTGGTTAGATTTGAAAGAGTAGCACTAGTTGGGGGTGCTCTATCTTTAAAAGTCTTCAAATATAGAGTCTCCAACGGCTTTCTGAATAAAAGTCAGTGCACAGCTCAGTATAGTCCCTCTCTTCTAAATTCACTTTCTAACCTCAGAAAGGAGTGAAGCAGCTAAATCACATTTTTGAGACTTGATTTTTTTTTGATGATTTTAAATTTATATTTGCTCATATTTATTGGCACTGTAGTATAAGGGTATATCTTATTTAGCCATTCCCAAATCCTGGGAGATAGCGATACCATTCCTCTTTTACAAAAGTGGTACCTAAAGTTCGGAGAGATGGAGTGTAGCTTAGCAGAGGTAATCCAGAGAGAAAGAGCCAAACAGCCCTTCAGACTTTACTCTCCTGATCCAAGACATCTGCTTGTTCTATATCCTACATGGACCTTGTGTAAGATCTGAATCTCATAATGAGCAGAGAACCCAGAAATTTTTAGTTATCATGTAGTAACACCACCAAGCATTTAAGGTTTTATGGTTGATCCTATTCTATCAAGCAGTTATTTTATACCTAGTAGAATTCCTTCCACGGTTACACAAAGGTCTAAATCTACTCATTTTACTGAGATCAAATCAATTAATGTCATACTGTTTAGCTTAATGGCAAAACAAATTCATTCTAGAAATTCCCCTTGTAAATTGTTACTCATTACATTACAAATTAGAGCCTGTAAAAGTGAAACATAATTTACTCTCTTCTTTAAAAGGTTATTTAATAAAACAAACTATATTTATACTTTTTCAGGACTATAATAAGATTGTTAATTCAAAAATAATTCTGGGGGCCAGCCCAGTGGTGCAGCGGTTAAGTGCACATGTTCTGCTTCAGCAGCCCGGGGTTCGCCAATTCAGATCCCAGGTGCAGACATGGCAATGCTTGGCAATCCATGCTGTGGTAGGCGTCCCACGTATGAAGTAGAGGAAGATGGGCACCGATGTTAGCTCAGGGCCCATCTTCCTCAGCAAAAAGAGGAGGATTGGCAGCAGGTGTTAGCTCAGGGCTAATCTTCCTCAAAAAATAAATAAATAGATAAAATAAAATAATTCTATTGGTGGGGGCCAGCCCCGTGGCCAAGTGGTTAAGTTCACATGCTCTGCATTGGCTGCCCAGGGCTAGCTGGTTCAGCTCCTGGCTGCAGACCTACACACCAGTCATCAGGCCATGCTGTGGCAGCATCCCACATAGAAGAACTAGAATGACTTACAGGTAGGATATACAACTGTATACTGGGGCTTTGTGGAGAAAAAGAAAAAGTAAAAAGGAAGACTGGCAACAGATGTTAGCTCAGGGCCAGTCTTTCTGATGAAAAAATAAATAAATAATTGTCTTGAAAATCACAATTTCATTATTTTTAAGTGATTTAAATAAGCACATCATGACAAGTATAACCACAGAGATGTACCTGTTGACATACTTTAACAAAGAGATAGGGTTTATTTATAATTAACCCAATGTTTCATATGCTGTTGAAATACCGTTTCTTTATCTTAAGTATGTCAAACATCATGCTTACAATTTTATAGAATTAGAGTTAGATTATTAGACTTAGATTAGACTAAGATTGAACTTTTCAATTGCTGAAGTCTGCATTGATGAGGTTAACATTTCCTGTTTTGTCTGTATAAATAATATAATGCAGTCAATACAAAGTTTAGCATAGTAGTACAGAAACAGAATTACATCATTTTCAGCCCAAATGCTTACCACAAAACTGCTTGCTATTTGGAGTAGTCAGCTCACAATTTAGAGTTAATGTCCCTTCATATCAAACAGCCAAACCAGAAAATGCCTTTGGATTTGTAATATATTAAACTTTGTTTTTTTCAGGTTGAAATGCACAGTTGGTCCTGCAATGAATGAGCGTTTCAATATATCCATAACTGTTTCCAACAGTCGAGGGACAGCACGATATAGTACATTTTCCTATGTGGTAAGTCTAAGCATTACTTTTCTCATGATCTAGGATATTTAATTGTAACTTAATCTATTTAGAGTTATAAACTTAACAAGTTACTTTGTTTTGTTTTTATCTCCCATTCAGGATCCTATAATAACAAGTATTTCTCCAAGTTATGGTCCTAAGACTGGTGGCACTTTACTTACTTTAACTGGAAAGTACTTAAACAGTGGGAATTCTAGACACATTTCAATTGGTGGAAAAACATGTACCTTAAAAAGGTGTTGTAAATTTACTTTTTGTTGCATCAGTCACGTCAGATTAATATCTGTACCTAACAAGTCAGGAAAAGGTTGTTCTTTTTTTGTGGAGAAATATCAAGATGTTTATTATTTACTCTCCTGCTTACAAAACTTCCTCCTTCCCATATCTATCTACTCCCTTTTGTGGATTTTTCTACCCTTCCCTTATTGTTTATGACTTCCATTTTTAAGTTTTCTCTTCCCATCAACCTTCTATACTGTTATAGCTTAGTATCCTAGCTATGCTATGAGCTGTGAGATTCTGGTGATTGACAATAAATTAAAATAAACATTTCAATCAAGATTTACAATTAGACTAAGTCATTTTGGGGAGGTGCGAAAATCATGAGGGAGAGTGGGTTTGGAGGGAAGTTATGTTTTTGCTTGTTAGAGTTGGAAGAGCTCAGTTTAATCAACTACCAAAAGGATACTTTAAAAATTGCTTAAAATCTCAAATATTTTGAAGTCAAGGATGGCTTGTCTACCATAAGGCTAAGTCTGGGATCCAGTCAAATGCAAGCAGCCTACATTAGAAAGAGCTTTTTCTAAGGGCCCACCCAGTGGCGCAGCAGTTAAGTGCATATGTTCTTCTTCCGTGGCCCAGGGTTCACCAGTTCAGATCCCAGGTGCGGACATGGCACTGCTCGGTAGGCCATGCTGTGGCAGGCATCCCACATAGAAAGTAGAGGAAGATGGGCACGGATGTTAGCTCAGGGCCAGTCTTCCTCAGCAAAAAGAGGAGGATTGGTGACAGGTATTAGCTCAGGGCTAATCTTCCTCAAAAAAAAAGAAAGAGCTTTTTCTAGACCACATCAGGAAACAGCCTATGTTAGTAAGAGGTTTTTCTAGACCACATCAGGAAATTCCCATTTGCGAGCCATTGAGTGATAGCCTCTTGATATATGGATATAATTCTAAAATATGTGTTTATCTAGTAGCTAAGGTTCGTTTTCTTAATTTTTTTGTTCAGTGTGTCAGATAGTATTCTTGAATGTTATACTCCAGCCCAAACCACTCCAACTGAGTTTCCCGTTAAACTGAAAATTGACTTAGCCAACCGAGAGATGAACAGCTTCAGTTACCGGGAAGACCCCATTGTCTATGAAATTCATCCAACCAAATCTTTTATTAGGTAAGTAAGAGTGTCTGATGAGTATAAGAAAATAATGAACATAAGGATGGTTTAGCTGTCGAATAGTGTAGAGGAATTGCAGCTTTATCTGTGGCTTTGATGCTGTTGCATTTCCTTTGAAGACTGCCTTTCCAAATCAGGAGTGAAAACTACATTCAAGGTCTGAGTACAGTTTGACTTTATCAGTGCTAGTTCACGAGAAGAAACATTTTATCCTATTCTATTACTTTTAAAATGGACTTCAGTAAGGCAGTTTAAAGTGGCACCATAGTATTTATGCTCTTATATTATGTACATGTCAATTCTGTACTAACCTTAGTGCCCAAAAGTGGAATCACCCTTTTTCCCTCCATTCTTCAGTATATTTTAGCCCTGCCTGCTTCACAGGCAGCTTTTCCCGAAATCAGACTCCCTTTGAATCGGTATCTCGTTGGACCCAGTTCAGGCTGCCTTGTTTCCGCTAATTCTATCAGTCTAGCAACAATAGTTCATTTTTCTTTGGATTTTTTTTCGGAGAGAAAAAATATTTCTTTTGCATATTTGGTGAATAAAAGGACAAATGAAGTTCTTCAGTTTATGAAATAAGTTTTAAAAACTATTTTCCAGTTAAATAAGTTGTTCCCAAAGAAGAGTTACCACTGAACTTCCATTTGCCTTTGGCTGTAACTTGCAATCACTACATGTGATTTAATTGAACTTCTCTCTTTAAATACTTGGTAGGGAAAGAACGTCTCACTATTGCTATTGCTATTTGTCTATTTTATTTTGCCAGTGGTGGGAGCACAATTACAGGTGTTGGAAAAAATCTGAATTCGGTTAGTGTCCTGAGGATGGTGATAAATGTGCGTGAAGCAGGAAGGAACTTTACAGTGGTAAGTCCTTTGAATGATGGTTGTGCTTAAAGCTTTGCGTCTGTGCCTCCACCACTGGCTTTCAGGGTACATAGGATATTTTGGTTTTGCCTTTAATGTTTGCTAGTTACTGTCTTGCAGCAGAGGTCAAATAGTATTTTTTATTTGAAAACTAAAGTTATCTAGTCTTAGGCCAACATTGTAAAAAATACACACACACGCATACATATATAATGTTTACACACAAATGAGGATCATCAACGAGAGGCAGTGTCTTTAAAGACAGGCGGTACAAATGGAAACCACACCATTCTCTGTCTTAGTCAGTTCGGGCTGCTGTAACAAAAATCCCATAGACTAGATGGCTTACGTAACAAACATTTATTTCCCACTGTTCTGGAGGCTGGGATGTCCAAGATCAAGGCACCAGCAGATCCTGGTGTCTGGTGAGGGCGCTGTTCCTGATTTGCAGAAGGCCATCCCCTCACTGAATCCTCACATGGCAGAGAGAGGAAGAAGCAAGCTCTCTTGTGTGTCTTGGTATAAGGGCAGTGATTCTCTCGTGAGAACTCCACCCTCATGACCTAATTACCTTCCAAAGGCCCCATCTCCAAATACCATCACGTTGGGGATTAGAGTTCCAACATACGAATTTAGAGGGGCACACAAACATTCAGTCCGTTATTCCCCATCTCCCCCTTCTAATGCACCATAGAACATCAACCCTTTTGCTCTTAAAAACACCTTTGGGTAAAGCCTTTAATCTTGGAGCAGCATCCTTGTCTTTCTAAGTGGCGGGCACACCATGTGTCCTTCCACCCCCTTCCTACCATTCTTCTTGGCCCTTTGTTAGCACATTATCAAGTAATGAGAAGGAGCGTTAGAATGCTTATGTATGTCCTAGAGTGTGTGTGTTGTTTGGTATTTCTCTGCCTCTCCTCTTATTTGCAAGGTCAATCATAATTAAATTGAATGCTTCCTTAAAAGTGATTAACCTATTTTGTACTTTAACAATTTAGATAGGTCACATTAAAATGATAGTTTTAGTTTAGACCTCATGAAGGTTGGAGTTATTTACAAAGATTTCATATTTTTGTTTTCATATTTCATATTTTTGTTTTTCACTAATATAAAATACCATAATCTAGTTAGACCTATGCACTCAACTTAGAATGAAAGTTTTAAGTGCCCCCTCTCAAGTAGGTTCTTGATTGGGTGGGTGATAGATTGAATTACAACGCTTTCTTTTAGATTCCCCATCCAATATTTCTTGAAGACTAAGGCCACAGTGTTCTTTAATTACAAAAACCAATTTGGGGCTAAAAATGTCAAGCCAGATCACCAAACAATAAGGTCATCTCCAATGAGATTTTTCTTGACCTTCTCAATCAGCCACATTGCATCACCTCTAAAGAGTATTATTAGATTTTTATCATACTCCTGAGAGATTGTACTCCAGGGAGTCACCATATGAAGTAGAGAGCTTTGAAACCAATCCCTTCACACAGCCACAAACAAAGTTAGAATACCACTGCTATTAATTTAAAAGACATCAGTTCTCCACAGCCAAACATAACAATTTTTCATTAACCAAATAAGAATATCAGTACCCCTCTTTGGTGTTGGCGTGTGACTTTTTAAAGTAGAAATCTGGGAAATTATTAGTTTATCTAATTCACACCGAGCGTATGTTATTAAAATAATGGCTAGATTTCCTTCCTTCTCCCTCACTAACATTATGATGACACGTAGACCTACTCTTGGCTTTGTTCATTCATTTGTAATCAAACATTTATTAAAAACCTCCTAGATGTGAGACGTGAGAGTAGCACATCCTAAGGAAGATTCAAACAATGGTAGAAGATAAAAATCTTGTATCTTTACATATCTGGAAACATAAACTTCTGTTGTTTTAGCCACAAACATATTAGTGCAATAGAACTATGCATTAGAATTACACAAGAAGGAAAAATTCAGTAGGCCTATTTGACTATTGTTTATGAAAACTACTTCATAAAGAGACATGTGTTCCTTCCATATTCTCTGCTGCTTATGGAATTCAAAGCTGACCATGATGAATTGCGCCCATTCATTATTTAATGAATAAAAACTCTTGGTCAGGTCTGATTTAGATTTATTGATCCAGCCACAATTATTTTTAAGTCAAACAAACTCAAATCTTTTAAAATAAAAATACAGATACTAATCTCCTTCTTAACAAAATGTATATTAATTTGTTAATATGCATTATGTCCCTCAGTTTATTGTATAGTTTCCCAATTTCTTGTTGTTATGCAGAGAATTATTGTAATGGAAGTAAAATTGTTCATTTCCATTTTTTAAGATGATAGGAACAAAAGCATTGTAATATGAATTTGATACAAAACTAATATTTTATTCATATATCTATGTATCAGTTTCCTTTATCTACTTACAGCATACATTTTAAAATGTAGGATAATTTTTTAAAATTATTTTTAAAAGAAAATATCAAATACCCTTTTTTGTTTGTGCTTTTTATGTATATCCTGAGTCCTTTTTCTATTGTAGGCATAAGTAATTGTTTTATCTCCAACTCTACTTGTCAAAGAAAAGGAAATCTAAGGGATGTTGTTGCTTGTTTGTCTTTTCCTTGGGGGAAAAATTCAACCATTTAACCTTAAATTTGCCACTTTGTGCTGCTGGTTTAGTCTAAGCACAATCAAGAGGAAACCACATTTTCCAATCTTCCATAAATCAGAATTCCAAAGGGGAAGATTTGAAATGAGAGATGAAAGGGCATGAAATAATAATAGCAGAGCCTTTGTAAAATAGAGAGCATAGGAAAAGATTTACCAATATAGAATATAGAGTGAGTCAGAAGCTGTATAGCATGGGAGTTAAGACCGTGAATTCTGGAGCCAATGGCCTAGGATTTGTGCTCCCTTCTCTGACACGCAGAGCTGTGTGACCTGGTCTGATGACATAAGCTGGAAAAGCTCAGTTTCTTCGTCTGTAAAATGTGGGTAACCATAGCACCTACCTCATAGCATTATTGTGATAATTAAATGAGACCAACCTTGTAAAGTATTTTGCACAAAACCTGGCACTCAGTAATTGATAACTTAAAACACAGGAACAAGATGACCTAACTACATAGATAATTGTAATGTGAACCATATGGTGCTTGGCGGTTGACAGAGCACTTTTTCATGTAGTCATGTCATGTCATGGTGAATGACATTTTAGTCTTTCTTCTTAAATGAGGAGACTGAGTTTCCAAGAAAGGGCCGTGCCTTCACAGCTTGGTTAGGTAAAGGTAGGATGTGCATCAAGGACTTCTAACTGCGTTAGGTCCAGCTCCCACTCTGCCATGGCTGTTTCATAAACAAGGAGGCAGTCCCTCTAGGTGACTGTCCTGTCTTCTTAAGGAAAAGAAAGTGATGGAGGGAGAGCCAGCTTCCGATAGGTCAGCAAGCTTATCCCAGGTAGTTGAAGCTCTGTGTCCCTTTGAAGACAGCATTGTGCGGATAATTTTGTGTCTCTCATGTTTCCAGAAATGTGTTCCTCAACATTAGGAAGTTAAATGCAGATTTTTTTTTTCAAAAATTGTATCTTTTCAATTGATTATCTGAAGCAGTGAAATGTGGAAGTTACTATTGATGTTGTCAGCGATATTCTATCTACAGTGGATAATTGTGTCTCACTACAGGCATGTCAGCATCGCTCTAATTCAGAGATAATCTGCTGTACAACTCCTTCACTACAACAGCTGAATTTGCAACTCCCTCTGAAAACCAAAGCCTTCTTCATGTTGGACGGGATCCATTCCAAATACTTTGATCTCATTTATGTACATAATCCTGTGTTTAAGCCTTTTGAAAAGCCAGTGATGATCTCAATAGGCAATGAAAATGTACTGGAAATTAAGGTAAGAAATGCTTAAAATGTTCTCTTAAATCATCAACTTGAATTTAATTGACTTCATAGCTACATGAATAGAATTGCTGTACTTGGTGATTATCTTACACTCCATCAGCAAACACCTAAGCTCTGAAAAACAAGTCTTTTTGTCATAAGACTAAAAGGTAAGAATAATCGTGGACTGCTTTTTAATGAAGCGTTTAAAAACTCTTTCTTATGTATATATTAAAAAGTAGCAAATGTGGGACACAAATCCATTAAATAGGCTGCCTGTGATGCATTATCCTGCCAATGTTATGTATTTCCCCAGACTCCTAAATGTACTCATTATGAGATAAAAGGTAAGAGCCATAAAAGTGAAGGCAACAATTGTAGTTCTGTACTTCCTTGTAATACTTGGGATTTTGTATCTGGGTGTGGTCATCTCTAAGCTGATTTATAAATGGAGCTGGTCTTCCTCTACTTTAGGAGTATCTTAGCCTCAAATGCAATTTAATTGGGGAATAACAGATCATCTTTTCTAACCCAGCCTGTTTCAAACAAAGAATACTGAAGCCCAGAGAGGTTAAGTGTTTTGACAAGTGATGAAATAGTCGCAGAACAAAGTCTAGAACACAGCTCTCTTATGTTGCTTCAGTCATTTTTACTTCAAATAGTAATAAAACAGGCAAAATGATGAAGACTTGAATTATCTATAGCCCCAGTCCTTAGAAACAGCAAAATATTTATCTTCAACATGTTGTTTTTGACGTTCAGAATTTTTTCCCTGAAAGATGGCCTAAATGCCAATATGAACAAACATAAATAGGATAGTCCTTGTTTAGATGTAACATCAGTTCCCAGAGATCATCTTCATCCAAGTAATAATACATTTCTACTGGAATTTTTCTGTTTTTTCAGTAAGATCTTATCTACAGCCAAATCCAAGCACACGTTCACACCCATACAAGTTTTCCAGCATTGCAATTGTGTTTTGTACGATAATTAAGCAAACCCAGCATGAAATGAAATGCAAGCCTGCTTCAGTGAGCAGTGTGTTTACCACAGCGAAGTTCTTTCATCTGCTTCTTTAATTAGTTTTAGAAAAGGAAAAAGAGCTTTTATCTCTTCTTTTTTTTTTCAATAAAACTAATCTAGTGTGACCTTTTGCTTTTAACAATTACCGTGTTTGCCATTTGAAAGATTCCATTTGGTTTTCCTTGATGAAAACAAAGGTTTATTTGCAAATATTTTTATGCCCAGATAAACTCTATTTTTCTGTTCCTGTATCTATGATGGAAGGATTAGAGATAAATGGCTCTTTATCTACCCTTCCAAGCACTGATATGGAGGAGAAAGCTTCTTTTTCTGTAAATTAAACACCCATTATTCAACATCCTGCAAAATTGTTGGACCAAGGAAAACACAATTTGACATCATCCTCAGCCTTTCAGTGCTATTCCCAACATGGCCCAAGGGGTCTCTGGAAACAAGACACAAAACACTTTCCTTTTTTTTGCCTATATACAGAATGACTCTTTTCTCTATCAGTGTATAGCACCTGTCATGCAACAGAGTGGCAATCTTGGGGAAAAGGGGCCAGTTAAGGGGGACTGTTTTTGTGTCATGATTCAGTCTCTTCCCATACTCCATTTCCTTATGTTTAAGAGGAAATCTTAAGGTATAAGAGAGTATTTGTGTGACAGTCCTTTAACACTTTCCCAGTCTCTAAAGTTGATCTCATTAAAGCCTCTGCCTCTCTCAGGGCAGAAACAAAGGAAAGCAAAGCATGAGAAAAGAAAAGAGAACAGAAAGCCTCTCTGGGCAAGCATTGGACTGTTTCTATCAAAAGAAAAGGTGCCGTTTTATCTCATGTTGTGCTCGTTCAATTACCATCCAAAACATGAGTGTGAAGTGTGTTTGTATTCTGTCAGTGAAAGCACGATGGAGAGAATCGTGTTTAGAGTGAGATTTGCTTCTCATTGCCAGCAGGAGTTCATGTTCCTCAAACAGCCATGCATACAAGAATTCCTTGGCAAAAAAGAGATTATGATAGTTTCCAGCCCTAGTTGTGAGAATTGCCTAAGTCAGCAGTTGGCCCAATGATTAACCATGGCCAAGAGGGCCAGCCAAGTTTAGATCAAGAGAACATAACGGAGACCAAGGATCAGTCACTCCTCAGAACGAACCAGAAACCCTATTGATTTGATGTGAGAGGTAGTTGATGACCAAGGCTTTGAGTCAGCCAGGTCCGATTGTGGACAGTGGTCAGCAGAAGTAGACGTCTCTTTGGGAGTACACATTAAGGCACAATGCTCATGTCAATAGCAGCTCACATTTGCATGGAATTTTAGTTAACACAGTACTTTGATGTATTATTTCCTCTGAGACTCGTGTGGACCTGTGAAGTTGGAAGGTCAGTGATGATGATCTCCATTTATAGATAAGTAGACAGAGTTTCAGAAAGATTAGGTGATTTGTCTTGGGTCACCTAGGGAGCAAATAGCAGAACTAGGACTCACACTCAGATTTCTTAATTAGAATTTGGTCTTCTTTCCACTAAATTACAGTACTTTCCATATTAGCTTTCATTTAATGGATACCAAAATGCCTTTCGTAACAGAAAAACTTTTCTAGCATATGGTATGTAGATACCTATACAATTCTTCAAGTGAAATAGCTCTAAACTCTTTACAAATAGATAAAATCAATCCTGTTTAAAGATACCCTGTAGTTTTCCCTAATTATCTTATTTTATGACTTTTTGTGCATGAGCATATTTTATGGAAAACGGAGAAGTACAGTATTTAATGCTGGAACAAGGACTGCCTGGCACTGCCCTGGGGGGTTATCTTATTCTGGAGCATATTGATGTATATGATAATAGAGATGCTTCAGAAGTCTAGTCTGGAGAAAGCTAAAACAGGAAAAAGGGAGCAGGAAGATCAGCTAAAGTAGAGAGCAGGGACTCGGGCTGTGGCATGGTGAGCGCAAGAACAAAGGTTGGGAGCTCAGGTCAAGGCCTGTGTCAGTGTCTGGCATCAGAAGGATGTAGAAGGGACTGCAGTTCTGAGCCAACCCGTCCACCTGCTGCCCAAAGCCAGATTGTCTCCCTCCTCCTTCTGACCAATTTGCCTGCAACTATGGGCCAAATCCCAGTCACAGCCAGTGAGGCCAATTGTACCTCCAGATAGGATGGAATGAAGGGCTCTTTTCTTAGAGGTATTTGGCCCAGTGTCAAGACCTATTCTTATTGATGGTAATCATAAACTAGTATTTCCCTGTGCTGCACACAGGAATACGTATTCTGTGAAAAAAAACATTCCAGGGCACATAGGCAGCACCTGTGGTTTCACAGTGCCCCAAGAAGCCAGTGAAGAAACAAGCTTAATTTTGGTTTACCCAGGTTTTCTCAAATGACCTTGGAACTTTTCCCCCATAATGCCTGCTAACTTCCTGTGGACTCAGTTCTGAAGCTTTCTGTGAAACTTTCTTTGGCCTGATTCCTAGGCTGGGGGACTTGTGTGGGTAAATCTCTCTCCTCACTACCACCACCAACTCACTGATTTTCTGCTGCCAACCTCCCTGGACCATTGCCTGGCTGAGTCCTGCTACCAACCTGCACCTCACAGCCTTAGCTGACTTTCCCAGACTCAATCTTGTGGCCACCTGAATGTCTGCAAACTTGTCAGACCTCTCCTGTTCTAATGCTATTTTTCAAATCCTACTCATTTCTATTCTCATCTGCTCTGTTCTGTAAGTAGCTCAGACTGGATCCCCTGGACTGAATCTCAGATAGAAACATACATCACACTTCATCAGAGTTGGAGAGGAAAGGGACAAGGAACATCCTAGTATGACACATTGAGAGAGAGTAATTAGTTTTCACTTTAGAAATATATTCATTTTAACGTTACAGTGAGAGGAAGAAACTCATATTCATCCTTATATTCTCAGTAGCTGGAATTGTGTCTAACATACAGTAGATGGTAAGTAGATTTTGTATCAAATGGAATTTGATTTGCTTCATGACCGAGTCCCTTCCTGAACCTTAGTTCTCAATGTGTAAAGCAGGAATGGCAATAATACCTCCTCATAATACTACCTCATAGTATAATACTCCTCATAATAATACCTACCTCATAGGGTATCCTTACAGGATAAAAAGAGATAACTATAACTCTAAATTGCTCTATGTGTATAGGTGATTAAAGACCAGAAAGTTCCTTCTATGTTGCTTTATTTAAAAACCCATATATTACCGTTTTAATGACTGAAGAACTGAGCCAATTTTGTAAATATGTTCTTCTAGTTAATAATAGTCAAGAATAAATAATGAGGGGCCGCCCTGTGGCCAAGTGATCGAGTTCATGCACCCTGCTTTGGTGGCCCAGGGTTTCACTGGTTCGGATCCTGGGTGGGGACATGGCACTGCTCATCAGGCCATGTTGAGGCGGCGTCCCACATAGCACAACCAGAAGGATCTACCAGTCGAGTGTACAGCTATATACTGGGGGGCTTTGGGGAGAAGAATTAAAAAAAAGAGAGAGATTAGCAACAGATGTCGGCTCAGGTGCCAATAAAAAAAAAGGAATAAATAATGAAAAAGTAAATAATAAAAGTTCTAAACATATCCAGTTTTTCCATAGTTCCATGGTGTTTATTTCAAATGACAAAAAGTAGCTTATACCTTATATCTTATGCATTTTTCTGACTCAGGCCCCTCTTTTATATAGTGGTGGGCTGTCAGCTTCACTTCTGTGATATCTTGGATTGTAGATTTTTAAAATAATTACTAAACATACAAAGCTGATAGTAATTTCTTATGTAAGTCACTACTTACGTGTTCCTTAATAGGCACAAATGAAAAGGAGTGCAGTTGTTACACCGTGTGATCTGTTTTTGTTTTAGAGAAGCCTTTATGCAACATCCTAGGACATCCTGAGCCCAGCAGTATTGGAAATGTAAATGCAGCATGTTCATCCCTTCCCCCAGCCTTCATTATTATCCAAGCAAGCAAGACACATTTTAGTCATTCCCTCATAAATCAAGACCTCAAGCTCTTTAATCTCTTTTCTTTGTCATTCGCTGAATTCCCTCCAATATGTGAGTGAATGCCTTGGCCCTCCTCAGACCTAACCAACAAGTTGTCATTTGAAGCCCGAAGGTGACCTATTAGATTTATGTGCTTCTACATCAAATTGCCCTGTGTGGCTGACCTGGGCCAATGGAGTACACATTCTGCCTCTAGAAATATCATAAGGATAGGATTTGTTTATATCCATTTTTTTTAAACTCCAGATTCATGTTATGAAGAAGTATTTTCTTTCAACTTCTTTTTCCAGAATAATATCTGACCTACCAATCTCTTGAGATCCATATGAGACAATGTATGTGAAAGCAGTTTGCCAAGTATTAAAGATTATATAAAATGAAATAGCAGTACTATAGTTATTGCTTGCTGCTCTTTGTCCATAAGAAAAATAGTAATATGTTTTGATATATCTCTCCTCAAAGTAGTAGCTTGTTTAATAAATATCTGCACTCGTTAAGTCTTGATATGAGAAATTGTATCTATGTTTTCTTTTCTTTCCCAAAGCTGATTATTGGTTTTTTCAACAAAGCATTGATATTTTTTAAATGCTTGATGTTAACTTCAGTTAACTAAATATGTCAAATTGAGTAATTTTTTTAAAATCCTAATGTAGCTATATAATTGTTCAAAATGATGTAATCATGCTCCCAAATCATAAGGGTCATATAGCATCTTACAGGAATTTCTTTAGAAATGAATTCATTTATGTGTAGGATTCAACTGTGTTAGAAGGATGAAAAGAAACTGCCCAACTCAAACACAAAAGGAATATGTTAACGTATGTCTGTTAAGTCAGAATCTCTGGAGATGGGACCCAGGCATTAGTATTTTATAAAGCTCTCAATGTGATTCTAAAAGTGAAGCCAACGCTGAGTGTCAGGGCATTAGGCAGTGTTGGGCATCACGACAACTCAGTCTCTAAATTGTTTCCTTCTTGCCAACCATCAGTGCCCTTAGAAGACATCAGTAAGGTGATTATGGATGAGACATCATGTGAAACAAAAGTCTCCTTCCTTTTCTGTAAAATCCAATTTATGGAAAAGCTATATGCTATGATTCCTGACTAATCAGTGCCCTGAAATGGTTATGCTGTCTTCCAGCCATCCAAATTCCCATGAAAATGAGTATCATAAAATCACATGCCTTGGCAAAGATCCTGGCCTGTGTTTGCAGTATATTTATATTCCTTCACAATTGTTAGCATTCCTGCAAAACTGAAGTGTTAACGACCTCTTTTTTTTTTTTTTCTCCTTCCAGGGAAATGATATTGACCCTGAAGCCGTTAAAGGTGAAGTGTTAAAAGTTGGAAATAAGAGCTGTGAGAATATACACTCACATTCTGAAGCCGTTTTATGTACAGTCCCCAGTGACCTGCTGAAATTGAACAGCGAGCTAAATATAGAGGTGGGATTCCTGCATTCCTCTCATGATGTAAATAAAGATGCCAGTGTAATTATGTCACTTGCAGGCTTAAAATAAATCATTAAAGCTCATTTGTGTGTTGGCTGTGGCTCATCAGTTCAGCTTTGATTCTTGAATAGTTTTTATTTTAGAAATGGTGAGTTTTTTATTGCAGTCTTCTTCCCAAGCTTCAGAGGGTAGATCTCAAAAGTGCTTCCTAGCCACGCTGCCTCTCTGTCATGCCACACTCTTGCCAGAATTGGCTGTAGTTCTCAGGAGGAATAAGGGGACATCCAAGGGGGCCCTTTTCCCCAACTCTCACCACCCCAGGAGGCCAGAGCCAGTGCACTGTGCCTTCCACAGTGATCGCAAGTGCATGGACCCCATAAGTAAAAGAATCTGTATGCACTGGACAAAGTAAACTAAGAATTAAACTATTTCACAGTAACATCTTTCAGGTAGACAGCTAAATCAGGGAACCTAGAACAGAGTGATCTTTTTTTAATTCTTTTTTGAACAGTTTTATTGAGATAGAACTCACATACCATACAATTCACCCATTTAGAGTGGTTTGGGGTATATTATTAATTTTTTTAATTGTGGAATATATAATATAAAATTTTCCATTTTAACCATTTTTTAGTGTACAATTCAGTGGTATTAATGACATTGTGCAACCATCATCACCATCTAATTCCAAAAATTTTTCATCACCCCAAACAGAAATTCTGTAACCGTTAAGCAGAATGTCATACCCCCTCCTCTTTCCCAGCCCCTGGTGACCTCTAATCTACTTTCTGTCTTTGTGAATTAGCCTATTCTAGATATTTCATGTAAGTGGAATCATCCAATATTTGTCCTTTTGTATCTGACTTCTTTTGCTTAGCATGTTTTCAAGGTCATCCATGTTGTAGCTTATGTCAGAATTTCATTCCTTTTTATGGCTAATATTCCATTGCATGTGTATATACACAACATATTTTGTTTATCTAAGAATGAGTGATTTTTAAAGGGTTCTGAAGTTTTCTAAAAAGTTGTCAAATGGGAAAGTACGAAGAAAATTAGGAAATCTAAAGCTGAATCATGAAATCAGAGTTTGGAATTCAGCAGGACTGTAAAGCCTAAGAATCATGATATGTTAGAGCCAGAAAGGACGACAGAGATTTTTTCTGTGTGTCAAAACTGAAAGAAGAATATTTTGAGACTTTATTATCCCATAATAGTAATATGATTATTTAACTGTTATGGGAAGTCTTCTCTGCCCTACATCCCATCCTCCAGGACAGAATTAATGTCCTGTTGTTCTGTTTCTTAATATTTATTCATACTTCTATGGTACATAACACATTGTATTATAATTATTTGTTTGTGCATTCATCTTCCCTTTTAAACTTCAGTTCCTCAAGATCAGAGACTGTTTTTTTTCTCTTTTTATCCCTAATACTTAGTTACAAGTACAAATAGCCAAGTATAATATAAGTACTTTAGGGATCAGTAGCCCCTAATTATTTGAACACTGAAGCAGAATTGAGGAATGTCTTATTACTCTGAAGGCAATTATGCCACTTCTAGAACAGTAATAACCAGATGATATTTGGGGCCCAGAGAGACTGTGGTTCAATCTGTGTAGTATATTTTGTATCTGTCGTGGCTAAATTGTGACTTTTATTTGTCATTTTTAGTGGAAGCAAGCAGTTTCTTCAACCATCCTTGGAAAAGTAATAGTTCAACCAGATCAGAATTTCACAGGATTGATTGTTGGTGTTGTCTCAATATCAATAATACTCTTATTATTACTCGGGCTTTTCCTGTGGCTGAAAAGGAGAAAGCAAATTAAAGGTGCATAATTTTTTTTAATGTTTTTTGTAAGGAGTTGCCTTAAGAATACAGTCACTACGGTTTAAAATTGTCATAGATTCATGTGTGCTGTCTTATATGCAATCCATAAAACCCACGAGTTCTGGTCACTGGGTCAAAGTCTGCTGAGACCCATGATAGCCAAGTCTTTAACGAGCTCTTTCTCTCTCTCTGTTTTAAGATCTGGGCAGTGAATTAGTTCGCTATGATGCAAGAGTACACACTCCTCATTTGGATAGGCTTGTAAGTGCCCGAAGTGTAAGCCCAACTACAGAAATGGTTTCAAATGAATCTGTAGACTACCGAGCTACTTTTCCAGAAGGTATATTTCAGTTTATTGTTCTGAGAAATACCTATACATACACCTCAGTGGGTTATGGCATTGTTGTTTATTTTTGGTTTTGCCTTTATATTTTTATGAAAATATGAAAGAAGTATTTACCTCTTCTTTGGCCAAAGAAGTATTTAACTTGACACAGAATTATATGGCTCTTCTTTTTAAATGAACTCATTTATATGTTATGTTAGATTTTTAGAGTCCTTCAGCTTTCTTCTCAGAAAAAGGTTAATTTTGAAATCATTTGAGCAAAGGTAAGGTGTTTATCATCTGCGTGCAATGCTAAAAAATTATGAAGCTCTCTTTCACAACCCGGGAAGAGTTAAGATACAAAACTTAGATTTATTTAAATATAGGTTGGCACTGCTGCATTTTTTTTTACCTGCTGGTCCTCGAACATTGAACTTATACCTTCAGTTCTCCTTTGAGAGACTCTTGATGAACTGTTAACACACAGCCTTTTACCCGCAGCATTCCAGGGCTTGAGTATAGTTTGTCTTATCCAATAAACCTTAATTATGCTATTAAAAAAGGAAGGGTTAACATCATCAGCTTTGCAAAACAGTAAGCCTGATAATGGTCGGATTAACCAGAGTATTTCACATTGTTTTATTTAAAATCTCCTGGTAAGAGCAAAATGTCTGTATTGTATCTGCTCCATTATCTTTAGAAGTTACAGGACGTGAGTCAAGTACAAGCATTTCCCTGGTTGAATATTTACCATTGGGCAAATAAAATGAGTCACAGATGGTTGAGGATACTGGAAAACTTAGAAGCTGCTCATCGAAACAAGTACAAGAGCAATGAGGCACTTAACATTTTATTTTTTGCCTTTTATTTTTTGAAGTTTGTGTTAGTTCTGTAGAGATGCATCTCATAAATATTGTCTTTGCCCACGTGACACCATTCACCTTTAAAAATCCATGCCATTAACACAGTGGACAAATCAAATCCAGTTTATAATTTTCATATTTAGATCTCTGTTATTTTATATTCACATTTAATAGCTCCAACCTGAGGTCATTAAAATTCACAATTAAAGTTTACATAATCTTCTTTCAACCTCGTTACTCACCAAACCTCTGTCATTGTTGCCAAGAAGCTTGTTTCATCCTTTTTCCTGCATTGCACCTGATCCTTGGAGACATGGGAAAGTAGGCAAAAGAAGGCCCTCCAGGGAGAAAAAGGAAATGCATAACCAGCACCTAATGAAGAAGCAACTACAGAGCCTTTCTCTATCTGGTGGGGACCGCCTCCTCATCAGTCTTTCACGCAGACCTAGAGTGTCTGTGGTTACACCAGAATCACACATTGATGATTTCAGTTGGTTTGTGCACGTTTGAACTTAGCCCAAGGGTCAGTAGAATTTCCACGCCAGAGGACTTCGCTATGTCTCACCGAGGATTTCCCTTGATGTCTGCGCCTCTGAGAATTCAGAACCCTGATCTCCAGGTGCAAAGGTTTAGGAAGTAAAAGTGAAGGAACTGGGTTTAGAGAGGCTCATTTGCATTTCCAGCCCATAGGGAAGGTTTGGAGACCCTGACTCTTTGGGATAAAAGGAACAGGCAGCCAGCTAGGCTCCCTTCTTCCCTCACCCATCCAACATCTCAAGTACTCCTCTGATAGTCTAGATCCTTCCTTGAAGATTGCATCTGTCTTATTTCCAGCTAATGATTCCTATAACTATAGGTGGCCCCCAAAGCTTTTCTGGCTCTACTGTTGAGATTTACTACTCTGGCCAAATTGATTTGTTATTAACCAAACTGTCCACTGTGGAAAATACTAAAAATGCTTAAATGGGGTTAGGAATAGTCTGGATACCATCAACTTTCTGTAACATGCCCCTCTCTCAAGTTCTGACTTTCCTGCTCATTTGCAAACAAACAATATTACCTTTTGGTTCCAGCGGGGACCTCCTACATAACCCTGTCCCCTCTCCCCACATCATATACTAATACATTTCAGTACCCTGCCTACCTCATCTTCAAGTCAGTTGCTGTGGATATGATGCCCTCTCCTTGACCTGCACGGATTCCCTGCCCGGTGGAAAGGGTAGAGAACCTGGTGGCTTTTCTGCCCTATTTGGCATTCTCAAGCCCACAATTTCTTACCCCTGAAATGGAAAAGCTTCACATTGCAATAGGGAACCTTGCCTGAGGCTCTTACAGATCTCTGGTTGTAAAGATCAACTTATAAGAATGCTGATACCTTTCCAAAGGGCCTCAACTAAGCAGTGGGCACAGCACGCTAACCCAGCTCCAACCTGCCTTCTCTAAACAGCAATAACACTAAATCTGCTACTATCACCGCATGATGGCGAGTTTACCACTAATGTGAAAAGCTTTCAGTTCTGAAAAGTTAGCCATTATTTATTTCTAATCATATATAAAATATTTCACTATATTTATTTTTCCTTGGCCAGGAACCCAGATAGGTTTCAAGCAATCCTAATTAATTCCATTAATAAACACTAGTCCCTCAAAAGGCATCTGTGTCATTTTCTTCTATTTGAGTTGGATTTTTGTGAGACAAGGCAGCTGCTTGACTACTTTTGCTGCTTCCCATTCGTAAGAATATAGTATATTAAAAAAGAAACCTCCAGCATGGCTTTTTGCTGTATTTAAAAAGAGAAATGTCTAAGGAAAGGAAGAGAGTAAACAAGCTTTCAAAGTTAATGCTCAGGGGCCGGCCAGGCGGTACAGTGGTTAAGTTCACATGCTCTGCTTCAGTGGCCTGGGGTTCGTGGGTTCAGACCCCTGGCACGGACCTACACACTGCTCATCAAGCCATGCTGTGATGGCGTCCCACATACAAAACAGAGGAAGATCGGCTTGGATGTTAGCTCAGGGATAATCTTCCTCAAGCAAAAAGAAAAGAGTGCTCAGTCTACTTAAAAGAAACTTCATAAACATTTTTTTTAAAACAGTTGTACATATACATCTTTTCCCAACTTACTGTGTTTATTAAACCAATTCTTTTGTAAAGCCTCTTCCTAGCCTCATTCAATGATAAAACCAGCATTTCTCTAATTTTAAAAATCAGCTTCATTATTAATTTAATTTGCTGCCCCTGTTGCATTCCCCAGTAAGTGAGGGTTTGCTATTGTTTCAAATAATGTTGCTTTATCTTGCAGACCAGTTTCCTAACTCATCTCAGAATGGATCATGCAGACAAGTGCAGTATCCTCTGACGGACCTATCCCCCATCCTAACTAGTGGGGACTCTGATATATCCAGTCCATTACTGCAAAATACCGTCCACATTGACCTCAGTGCTCTAAATCCAGAGCTGGTGCAGGCAGTCCAGCACGTAGTGATTGGGCCTAGTAGTCTGATTGTGCATTTCAATGAAGTCATAGGAAGAGGTAAGTATTTCCACTCAGCTTTTGGTTAAAGACCATTTTCCAGTAAGCATTTTATCTTCTGCCTTTGCAGATTAGGAACTTAGACAATGGTGAAAGCAACTGACAGAGCAGTGATAACAAGTGCTCCTGATTTCTGTTCTGCAAAAATACAGCCTTGCAAATCATATCCAGGGGGATCTGCCCCTGTGCATGGAGGCAATTTGATAATCTCCTGAACACATTAGAAATAAATCACATTCTTTCCTCACCTTTTTCATAATGGCAACTATAGTTTCTTGGAAGGTGCCATTTACTTCCTTCTAAAAATCATTCTTTTAAGTTCCAGTATTTTTACTCATACCTCCCTCCAGTCTTTCTGTACCCTGAGAACAGTGACTGACTCCATGAAGTCCTGGTTTATAGCAGTTTGTACACTGCTGGACAGCATCAGAAGACAGGGAATTTATAGCATCCCCCTGATCTGAAGCAACATATATCATCTCTACAATGCACTCCAATTTCTTTATACAAGGAGGAATGAATATTTGTAATAAGCCAGCCAGAGCAGCAGTAACAGCTAACATCACACAAGTATTTGAGGAAATGTTTAGCAGGAAAAGAAACCAACCAGAGGCTAGGAAATTAACTCCACTCTCCCCTTTTTTTCTAAAAAGCTTTTACCTTTAATACTGAATGGCCTCTGATCCCTTTCATTCAATATGTGCTGCAAGAGGCAGCACAGGCATCTGCCAGCGTGATGCAGAGGAAGGTGATGGGATGGTGTGCCTTGTATAAACATGAGGCCTTCCCATTTTCCTGTGATAGCATCCACACGTTCCTCCATCCCATACTCCAGGTCTTAATCCTTAGCATGCTCCCCTTCCCAAATAGCAGCTTCGCTGTTAACAAACATGTTTCACATCAGAGTAATATATAGTTCTGTTACTGGTCTATAAATCCTAGTAATTGCACCAGCTTTAGAATGTGTGCCCTCGCTGATTATGTTCTAATTCTACACATTGTAAAATTATAATTTTCTATTTTTATGGTGAAAAGTGCTAAAGTGGGAATTATTTCTCTTATGAAGTAATAATCATTAATGATTCTGTAATATGACTTACGTATATGTTTTTTTCCCAGTGGAATATGAGCCCTCAAGAGCATAGCTTTTATTTGATTCATCTTTGCATTACAAGAGGGGAGACTCTCGCCTGAGACTCACCTACTAGGCACTCAGGGAGTCCCAGAGGCTAGATGCATTAATTAGTGAGTGACTTACACAGCCATCAGACGTTTGGCACCTCTGGGGAAAATTACTGCCACTGGATGAAAGGCCACCATTGGGAAAGTGATGTGGCTAAAGCCAGAGAGAACTAGACAAAATGATTCAGAGTGAATTTGCTTCATTTGGGCCTCTTAGTTTCTGCCAACCTGGATTATGTGTTAACCGGTGACTAAGGGGGGAAATCCTTATTCTGTAATGCTCATCTTACTTCTAATGGTAACCTTTTTATTTCATTTCAGTTTATTGGAATATAGGGAACTTATTTAATTGCATTTCTTCATGTGGATCAAACTTTATTTTCATGTTTAAAAGATATTATTTGACTGATCCTTAAAAATATAGATTTCTTTTATGAGGCAGATGTTACTCCTGTTTTCAGTGGTTCCACTATGGTTGAATGTTTTATTATATTAGCCTTTAATAACAATTATGTCACCTAAATTTTTTACCATGTATTAAATAATCATATTGCTTATGCCTTTGGGTACAATGTCTTACATCTAGTATATTCACACACACACAGTGGTAGTATTCAGAAGTAGAAGAAACAATGCACTTTTTTGCCATGTAGGAAAAAAAGGAAATGAAGATCATGAATTGATAAACAATTATTGCACAATTAAAAGTAATGCAGCACTAATCAAGTTCCCTCTTTCATGTAGGACATTTTGGGTGTGTATATCATGGGACTTTGTTGGACAATGATGACAAGAAAATTCACTGTGCTGTGAAATCCTTGAATAGTAAGTGATGTTTTATTTAATGGTGGACTACACTTTTGTGGTTTGCAAACTAGTCAATAGTTCATAATAAAATGTTGATTTAGGACCAGCCTTGTGGCCTGTGGTTAAGCTCTGTGCTCTGCTTCAGTGGCCCAGATTCAGTTGCCAGGCACAGATCTACACCACTTGTCTGTCAGTGGCCATCCTGTGGCAGCAGTTCACATACAAAAAGAGGAAGATTGGCAGTGGATGTTAGCTCAGGGCAAATCTTCCTCAGCAAAAAAAAAAAAAGAAAGAAAGAAAGAAAGTTGATTTACACTATCCCTTTTGGAAAAATCAGCGACTGCTGGAACTGTGTATCTAATCCTGAAAATTTTTTGGTCTAAATTCTTATTGAAATATTTCCTCAGAAATTTTCGTCAGAGCCCTCATAAGTAAGAGTGAGGGAGAAATGAGGTTCTTGGATGAGCTGAGCATCATTTAACTATGTTTGGCTTGTGATATTTGTTTTGCAAGTGACATTTATGGAAACTATTGGAAGCATGTTGGCAGATACAGTAGTAATGACTCATTTTACCCAGAGGCATTACTATAATTATTTTTTAACCACAACTTTCATTAAAAAGAAAAAAAAATGAAATAAGACAAGCAGGAGAAAACTATGCTGGCAGAAAATTAAAAAACCGTAAATGTGGTAATACCTCATTTATCCGCATTTTTGGGGAATGAGGTATTCCACATAAATAAACTTCCTAAACAAGTGAAACTCACTCCCCCCCCCTTTTAATGCTAGAACATTTTAAAACATTTTAGCATTTATTGAGAAAATCTTTTTTAAATGGAAGGCATTCTCCATTTAAGAAACAGGGAATGCTTCCAAACATAAACTAAGTCTTTAATGATGACCAGGCATAAATTACTCTCTCATACAACCCAGTGGACTCCTCAGCTAGTTTTCCTGGCTCCACCTTTGCTGACAGGTCTCACATATAAAGTCAGTGTGCTTGCCTTTTCTAAATTTCTGCTTATAATTTGCAGCAGACTGAAAAATGTTAACCAGCTATATTACAAATTTATATTGGCATTAATAAGCTTTAAATGCACAAGAAGAAGATTTTCCTGAAAGATACGTTTGCCAGAACTCTTTCAGCCTTTTTTTTTTACATAAATCTCCATGCTGAGCAGTGCTCTATATGGTTGATTTTGTTGGAAGTCTGACCATGAGGTAATTAAAAGAACAGTGTCTATGAAACCCAGCTAGAAAGTGTGATGGATTAAGTATGATTGTCAGTAAATTGGCCTCATGAGAGAGCACCACTGCCAATTGTACTCAGAACAATCCTAACACCAAGAAATCTTTCTCTGACCCTGGTGTGCATTGATCTCGATTCAGTCCAGATGGACTTCGAGGTCTCAGAATGCATTGCATTTGTAAAAGAATCTCGTCACTGAGACTGGTACTGGTCAGATTAATAAATTAAAGGCTGTTAACTCCTCATTGATGCTGACTAGTGTCAGGCCCTCAGGATCACTATCTGGAAGTGATTAGAAGCTATTATACCAAAAAAAGTCTACATAGATATGACATTGTGGTCATATGACCACATGACAGTAGTTAGTCTTCAGATCCTCCTAGGCCAGGGATCAGAAAACCATGCCCCACCGCCTGTTTTCGTAAATAAAGTTTGTTGAGATTCAGCCACTTGTTGTCTGTGGCTGCTTTTGCACAACAACGGCAGGGTTGAGTATTTGCAACAGAGACCATAGGGCCCATAACGCCAAAAAATATTTACTCTCTGGCCCCTTAGAAAAGTTTGCCCCCTCCTGCCCTAGAAAATCAGTACAGAAACGGACTGAGCGGCTTCCTCGCCTTTTTGCGTGTGAGACAAACTGATTGCTAGACTCTGTCTTATGGAAGTGGGTGTAGGTGGTGACTTGAAGGGGCAGCACTGGGTGACATCATTTACCCAGATGTACTCCCAAAAACACGCTGAGGACGAAGCCTCAGGGCAAGACGTCACCCTATGGTTTTACATTCCATTGCCAGCCCCATCTGAACTTGATAAAGTATTCGTTGTTCCATAATGAACTTAATGTCTCCACCGCTGGATTTCTCAGGAATCACTGACATAGGAGAAGTTTCCCAGTTTCTCACCGAGGGAATTATCATGAAAGATTTTAGTCATCCCAACGTTCTCTCGCTCTTGGGAATCTGCCTTCGAAGTGAGGGATCTCCACTGGTGGTTCTACCGTACATGAAACATGGAGACCTTCGAAATTTCATTAGAAATGAGACCCACGTAAGTGTATTACCAAGCTTGGAAGCCAGCCAGCCTTCCAGAATGTGCCTTATTTTGAACCTTTTTAAAAGCTTTTAGCTGAAGAAGTGCATGTAAAACGTTGGCACCATTCACATGTAAAAGGCCAATTCAGTTCGCTTTTACTTCAAAATCCTCTATCCCAGTGGGAAGATAGTGATATCTAGAAGGATTTCCTGGGGGCAGTGATTCACCCGCCCTGCAAACAACCTTGCTCTACCATCCCCCTGATAGGTACATTTAGTCATGTTTGAGTGCCTGCTATATGCCAGAAACTGCATAGCACAGGAAACATAGAGGCAGAATGAGCCTCAGCCCACGTGGAGTTTTAACTCTAGAAGGAAAGACATTGAAGAACTAATTACAAATGAGTCCTTTACTATTTCTAAAACTTGCCACCTGGTCTCCTGCCTCAGGACTTTGCACTTGCTGTTCCTGCTGCCTAGAACACTCTTCCCCAGAATATCCACGTATCTCACTTATTCACCAACTTCAGCCTTTTGCCCTAATGTCATCTTCAAAATGAGCCTTCCCTGAACTTTCTAAATTGCAGCTGACCCACCCCACCCCCATGCCTTCTGTCTGTTTCCTCTCCCTTGCTGTATTTTTCTCCATCACTCTTACCATCATCTTGATGCAGGCTCGGTGAGTCAAGGAGTCGAAAGAAAGATTTCTTGGACTCTCAAGGTCTGGCAGTAGTGCTCCTTTATTCAGAAAATAGCATGGAGTAGCATGGGGAGAGGACCCATGGGCAGGAGGAGCTGCAGCATGGGGACAGGACCCATGGGCAGGAGGAGCTGCAGCATGGGGACAGGACCCACGGGCAGGAGGAGCTGCAGGCATGGGGACAGGACCCATGGGCAGGAGGAGCTGCAGGCATGGGGACAGGACCCGTGGGCAGGAGGAGCTGCAGCATGGGGACAGGACCCGTGGGCAGGAGGAGCTGCAGGCATGGGGACAGGACCCATGGGCAGGAAGAGCTGCAGGCATGGGGACAGGACCCATGGGCAGGAGGAGCTGCAGGCATGGGGACAGGACCCATGGGCAGGAGGAGCTGCAGGCATGGGGACAGGACCCATGGGCAGGAGGAGCTGCAGGCATGGGGACAGGACCCATGGGCAGGAAGAGCTGCAGGCATGGGGACAGGACCCATGGGCAGGAGGAGCTGCAGCATGGGGACAGGACCCGTGGGCAGGAGGAGCTGCAGGCATGGGGACAGGACCCGTGGGCAGGAGGAGCTGCAGGCATGGGGACAGGACCCGTGGGCAGGAGGAGCTGCAGGCATGGGGACAGGACCCGTGGGCAGGAGGAGCTGCAGGCACAGTAGAGGAAGACTGGCACAGATGTTAGCTCAGAGCTAATCTTCCTCAAGCAAAAAGAGAAGGATTGGCAACAGATGTTAGCTCAGGGCCAATCTTCCTCCCCCTTCCCCCAAAAGATAGCACTATATGCATGCTCACATACACACACATCCCATTAGAATGCAACTCATGAGAGTAGGAATTTTCATGTATTTTGTTCACTGCTGTAGCTCTAACACTTAACATAGTGTTCGGTACATGGACTCTCAGTAAATATTTGTTGAATGAATGAGATCAGGGTTATAAAAAAGGTTCTTGCAAATGAGAGTTTCTGAGTGACATTTGTGCCAGGACCTAAGGGGTGGGCAAGCAATGGCCAGGCCAGGGCAGGGAGGGAAGAGGAAGGAGTCCCCAGAACTGAAGTCACAGATGGCCTCACGCCCCTTCTTGGCTCCTGCGTCCAGGCCTCTGTGGTAGTTAATAGAGTAACTTTACTCTGGATCAAAAACAACTTCGTAAACATGGGGTCAGGTTCTCAGAGGAAATAAGCTCTAAGATGGTAAAGAAATATCTTGTGTTCAGCCAAAAGAATAAAATACCCCCTGGTAGTGAATTTTGCAGATAAGACGGATTTACCTTACAGAGCACAGAGCTGCTCTAACAAATCCCACTTTTCCACTTTAACTCTTGTCGTTACCCTGATGAGTTCCTCTGGTTGGCTGTGCTGCCTTCTCTCGGATGTTACTGCCCAGGATTAAAGCGTGGTAGGGGTTTCCTATTATCCAGTACCTTGACCTTTTCTTTCTAGTCTGAGGAGTCTGTACTTGCTACAACCACTAACAGGCATGTCCTAAAGAGAAGCCTGACACGCAAGGAACTGGCCGCTCCACATGCTGTGTGCATGAAGGGGCTGCAGCCCTCCTTGCAGGGTCCCCATCGCCTGCCTCATGGGTTCACAAACTCCACAGTGGCTGCTGAAGAAGAGATACTCTTTTCTTAAGGACCAGGTGCCAGTAGGGCCACAGTGACATCTATGTGACTTCAGATATAGTTACTAAAGGCATTCCTCTGTCCACCCGGTTTTGAGGATGGAGTTTCTGGAGAATGAGATTTCCTGTTCTCTATGTGGGTCCAGGCCACTGGAGTTGTGGGCTGGTGCTTTAGTACCAGTAAGAGGGCTTCTGATAGGATTGGCTTCACTACAGCGTGGGCTTTAGAGCCTAACAAATTTAGGTTAAAATCCTAACTCTGCCACTTACCATCTGAGTGGTTTGGGGTGATTTATTTCTCTCTGAACTTCCTGTATTAACCATGTGTTTCTGATGCTCTGACCTGTGGGGCCTTGCTGAGCAGGGACGGATGGCCCCTCCCAGGACTAGCAAATTCCCAGAGACAATAAGCAAGTCACCTTCAAAGAACAGGGCTTTCCTAAGCAAACCAACCAGTCCAGAGCCCATACCCCAGCCACCACCTTTAAAGGGTGCGCTCACTCTGGGCCACTGTTCCCTTGCCCCAGTCACTTCAGGGCCAGGTACCACAACAAGGACAGGCCCTACACCCAGAGCCTGCTGAAATCATTCAGACGAGCTAATCCTAAACCTGCTCACCCTGCCTCGCCCATTCCTTCCTACACAAATCACAATAAAGGCTCCAGCCTGTTTTCCCCTCGCTCTCTCTGCCTCCTAACCAACCCCAGTGCCGTGGCATGCTCCCTCCTCTTGGGAATTGCAAGTAACAAACTGTCTTTTCAGTGGCATTTGTCTCCCATCTGTTGGCCTCACCATACCTGAATAATAATAATAAAACCTACATTTTAAAACACCTCTATTTTCCCATCTGGAAAATGGAACCTGTATCACCTGCCTTACAGAAATGTGTAAGAGTTAGCCAGAATTTATAAAAACATGTAGCCTGGTGCTTTGCAAACAATAGGTACTTAATAAATGATTGCAGCCATCAACAGGGCACAAGTTATTATGTGAAACAAGATAACTCTTATAAATGCTTCAGAATTCTGAGATCATAGCTAGAACAGTGGGTGTTTAGTTTATGTTTCCAATTCTCTTTGATTACAGAACCCAACTGTAAAAGATCTTATTGGCTTTGGTCTTCAAGTAGCCAAAGGCATGAAATATCTTGCAAGCAAAAAGTTTGTCCACAGAGACTTGGCTGCAAGAAACTGTATGTAAGTATGAGAATCTCTGTGCCCACAGTGCAAACTGAGTGACAAGGAGGAATCTGTTTCCCACTGTTCAAGCCTAGTGAGGATGTTTTCTCTTCTTATGCAAAAGTCCTTCGTTTCCGTTACCGTGTTAATCGGTATATGAGAACTGGGGATGTAGGTGGGGCTTTCAGTCTTTATCAAATGGAGAATTTAAAAGGGACTCTCCAGAGGGGGTCTTAAACAGCTGTTGTGTGCTTTTGCTTTTCTTTTCCTTCCCACCGGTAGCCCCCAATCTTGTGGTTTCACACTGCATTAGTATTTGAGAAGGAGAATTTGATATTCAGCATTTTCCAGTGAAAAGGAGAGGGCTGGTGACACAAATACCAACATAGTATAACTTCCCAGAGTGGATTTGAAGTCACCTGCAGAAGCCCTACCAAAAATGGTATCTGGGAATGAATATACAAAGAACTTTATTTGTGTCTGGCTGCCTGGGCTGTCTAATACAACAGTCAACAATTTGTAATTGATTCAGTGCTTTTCCCTCGCACGGCACTGATTCATGACTTAGGGTATGTGTGAAGGAAAGAGCTGTGCTATTAATTTCCTACCTTGGTTTTGGTCAAGGTAACAACATAAAAGCCAGCTTAAACAAAAGATACATAGCCTCAGATAGCGGAAATTGATTGTTGTCGAACCTTGCTGTTTTTCTTAGAAGCTTTACGACGGATCCTATTTCTCTGTTACCTCAGTGGTGGGATATATGAGTTTTATGTTCTAATCTAGACCATTTGAGAATGAAAAAGTGAAATAACAGTCACCTGGCATATCTCCCTCATGAAACTGAGTATTGCTAATAAGCTGACAAGGGGAGATTGGCAATTGTTTTGGGTAGTCAGTTGGCGTACTTGATTTAGCCACAAAGGAAAGCTGAGAGGGGGACCACTTTTACTACGTCTCCAGATCTATGTTAAAGCATAAAGGATTCTCTGGAGCTGGCCCCATGGCCGAGTGGTTGGGTTTGCACTCTCTGCTTCGGTGGCCCAGGATTTGCCAGTTTGGGTCCTGGGTGCAGACCTGTGCACTGCTCATCAAGCCATGCTGTGGCGGCATCCCACATAGAAGAACTAGAATGACCTACAACCAGGATATTCAACTATGTACTGAGGCTTTAGGGAGAAAAAAAAAAAAAAGAGTAAGATTGGCAACAGATGTTAGCTTGGGGCCAAGCTTCCTCACCAAAAAGCATACTTTAAAGAAAAAAGGATTCTCTTATGCCATATCATTCGTAATCTCTTTCTTTGGCCTGTTTAATTTGTAATGTAAATGTAAAGCATTTTTATTCAAGAAGTCCATTGTAGTTTAGTGTTAGTCAATGGAGGCCCAATGAAGCCCTTCCTGCAGAAGTTATGGATTTCAAATACTGAAGTCGCTTGTTCTAATCAATAGATATTCAGCATTGCTGTAAATTATTCTATTTCAGCCACCAGTAATAACTTTTGTTTTTTTCTGTAGGCTGGATGAAAAATTCACTGTCAAGGTTGCTGATTTTGGGCTTGCCAGAGACATGTATGATAAAGAATACTATAGTGTGCACAACAAAACAGGTGCAAAACTGCCTGTGAAGTGGATGGCTTTAGAGAGTCTGCAAACTCAGAAGTTTACCACCAAGTCAGATGTGGTAACGTATTGATCATTCCCGAACCTTCTCCTCTTTTACTTTCATACCCCACATTTTTAGTAGTTTTATGGCTAATTTTTTTAAAAAGGAAACCTTCACCACTAATCTCAGTTTTCTTCATAAGTAAAAATGAGCTTGATTGTCTAATAGGTACCCATAGTATGGTTTCATAAATCCCTTTATTTATTCAAAAACATTTGTCTAGCAGGGCACCAGGCTAGGTGCTTGGGAAGCCCAGAGCTGAACCAGGCATGAACCGTGTCCTCCAGGAGCTTTGGCTCAGCAGGGAAGAGAAGGCATGCCCATCAATAACTGTCACATAAAGTAGACTGGGATTAGTCCAGCCACTCATAGCTCAAGGCAGGCAGGAATTCACTGTGAGAAATCTGGAAGCTATAACAGACAGGTCTAGCAGTGAAGGCATGATCCCTGCACCTAGCTAGAAACATGCTCTCCTTTATCTGCAGAGGTCATCCTTCTCTCATAGAACAAGCTTCAGAAGGCATGCACCTAAGCACTAAGGGTAGTGCTCACCTGAGCAGCCAGAGCCACTGCTCTGCCCTTCCACCCGGTGGAGGAGGTGGTGCTTGAAATGGGCCTTAAGGGAGGATGGAATGAGCAACGAAATAAGAAATACCAATCCACATGAGGCAGAGGGGCAGGGAAGTATCTGCGTCTTTAAAGTTCTGAGGAAATAGTAAGCAGTGGATGATTGGGCAAAAACAGAAGGCGCAGAGGGAAGTTATGAGAGTAAATTGAGGAAAATATATTCATACTAGATCATAGAAGTCCTTAGCAAACTAGCAAGTCTGGAATTTATTCTCCGGCCGTATGGAAACATTAAAGTGTGATCAGATTACAGTCTTTCTTCATTCCGTAAGATGTTCTGAGAGGAGTGGATGCAGGAAGACGAAGTGAGAGGTAGAACTTGAAATAATAGAGAGGCTGTGAGAATGGAAAAGAGATGGAAAGAGAGGCATCTCAGAGGTAGAATTAACAATATTTAGCAAGAAATTGATAAAAGTCAAAGAAGAGCCAAGTTGTATACTGGTGCAATAACAAGTATGTGAAGCAGGAGAACAGAAGCCAGTTTAGGAAGAAAAATACCAGCTGAGCCTTGAACGTGGTGAGTTTGACTTGGGAGTAGAACGTCCGGGCAGAGAAGTCTGTTAGGCAGATGGAAATGTGCGTCTGTAGTCTGTACAACCTCTTTGGTTGTCTTGGTCAACTTGGGCTGCCGTAACAAAATACCGTAGACTGGGTGGCTTAAACAATAGACGTTTATTTCTCACAGTTCCAGAGGCTGGAAGTGTGAGATGAGGGTGCCAGCATGGTCAGGTTCTGGTGAGAGCTTTCTTCCTGGTTTGCACACGGCTGCCTTCTCCCTGTGTCCTCACATGTGGGAGACAGCAAGAGCAAGCTTTCTGGTGTCTATTCTTAAAAGGGCACTAATCCCATCATGAGGGCCCCACCATCATGACCTCATCTAAACCCAGTTACCTCCCAGAGGCCCCACCTCCTAATACCATCACACTGGGAGTTAGAGCTTCAGCGTTTGCATTGCGGTGGGAGGAGACACAGTTCAGTCCATAACAGAGGTCAAGGCTAGAAGTAGGGTTTTGAGAGTCCAAAAACAATTATTCAGGAGAACCTACATATATGAAGTGAGGGAGAAAAGCAGAGGTAGGAGAGTCAGGAGAAGAGACCATCATGAAAGGGAGAGGAAGAGAAAGTTTCGATAAGAAATGAGACATGATCAACAGGGTCCACTGCTACTCACTGCACAAGAAGGATCTTGGAAGCTGAGTGACTTCGAGGTCTAGAGTGTGCCGAGGAGCCTGGGTATTGAGTTGAATAAAGAGTACACTTATTCTGTTGCATGTTGCAAGTCAAGAGGATTGTGATGTGTGGAGGTAGAGAAACATGAATGTTTCAGTCCTTGAGGATAACAACTGAAAAGGGAAAAAGTGTAAACAGTGGTATCAGCGAAAAGACGGACAGAAAATAATGTTAATGGAGGGCATAGGCCTCAAAAGAGAAAGGGTTGCCGGCCGTTGAGAGAGAACAGGGCACAGGGATCTGAGGGCAGCGTTGGGAAGCGAGAAGTCATCTACCCTCCTCCCTGGGAGTTAGCAAGAGGGAGAGGTGTGGCCCCTGTTGGTAAGAGTTTCAAAGATATTTTAGTCTTCCAGTGAAAGCAGAATTTCAGTTCCTGAGGAAGTGGGGGAGAAAGAGAATAAGTTGAGGGTGACTGGGAGTTTATCTTCAATAAACAAGTGTGACACAGGATGTGGTGAACGACTGGGACTTCAGGATGGACGAGGATGTGATAGCACATGTTAGAGCTTAATGCCTGGGATTCTGATCCTGAAAGGCTCTGAAAAAAATGAAAGAAGTGGGTACTAGAGAGTTAGGCTGGGGACGTGTTAGTGATTGTGGCAGGTGAAGGCATAAGATAGGGAGAATTAACCCATCTTCCAAGAACCTACATTTCACCCAGACTTGACTGTCAGTCTACCATTAAGAACCAGATCCAACTCTTACAACTCAGGAAGAAGACAACTCCATTTTAAAAAATAGACAAAAGATTTAAATAGATATTTTACTAAAGAGATACATGAATAGCTAACTAATAAGAATATGAAAACATATGCTCACACAAAGACTTGTACATCAGTGTTCAGAGTAGTAGTATTCATAGTAACCAAAAATCAGTAGCAATCCTAATGTCCTTCAACTGGTGAATGGATAAACCAAATGTGGTACATCTATACAATGGAACAATACCATTCAGTAATATAAAGGAGCTATTGATGCATGCTACAACATGGATAAACCTTAAAAACTCTATGTCGGGGCCGGCCCAGTGGCGCAGCGGTTAAGTGCGCACGTTCTGCTTTGGCGGCCTGGGGTTCACCGGCCCGGATCCCAGGTGGACCTACACACTGCTTGTTAAGCCATGCCGTGGCAGGTGTCCCACATATAAAGTAGAGGAAGATGGGTGTGGATGTTAGCTCAGGGCCAGTCTTCCTCAGTGAAAAGAGGAGGATTGGCAGCAGTTAGCTCAGGGCTAATCTTCCTCAAAAAAAAAAACTTTTTGTCAAGTGACAGAAGGCAGACTCAAAAGATTACATGTTAAATGATTCCATTTAAATGAAATTTCTAGAAAGAGACAAAACTGTAGAGACAGAAAACAGATCAGTGGTCACCTAGCACTGAGAGTGGGAGTGAAGATTGACTATAAATGGGCATGAGGGAACTTTCTGGGATGTTGGAATTGATCTAAAACTGAATTGTGATGATCACTGCACAACTATGTAAATTTACATCATCACCGGTATACTTACAATTGGCAAATTTTATGATATATAAATTATACCTCAGCAAAGCTGTTAAAACAAGACAAAACAAAAAGAGCCTGATGAAATTTTGGCTGTTCAAGGCAAGAGTTGAGATTCTGAGCTTTTTGACAACCCCACAAACACACCCCTACCTCCACCAATATACTCACAGAGTACGGAGGCCAGCACTTCTCACATAGCAACTATCACTCAAATACTTGACTGGAAATTTACAGACGCTTCTGTAGAAATGAAGTACTGTGTCTCTCTTCCTCTCATTAAAAGACACTATAGTATATTACATAAAGGGTGAAACTGGGTAATCCCTGCACAGTGCTGCTTTGGCAAATGGTTATTGATTGCAAGGATAAATTTGCGTGAAGTTTCATTTCCAGGATAGCACAGTCTTTTGAATGTTGACATGGAACATTTCCAAAAGCATGTCATAAGCTCTATGTATGTTGAAACCTACAAACAAAAACTTGCCTGCTTGTAGGAAGGTCCACTTTTTCACAAATACTCAGAAGGAGTTCAGCTAAAGTCTGAATGCTCTTGAAACTCATTCAGAAAAAATGGGAGTGCCACTATACTTGCAGTTACTCAAACCCAGTATTGTACAGTGTTTCACACTTAGCACAAATGCTTCCATTAAAGTCACTATTGACTTCTCAGTTGTTCAACAAGCTGGCTTTTTCATCCTGCTTCAGCATTCTGCAGCATTTAACATTGTCAACCACTCCTTCCTTCTTGAAATGTCCTCCTTCTTTGGTTTCTGGGACTCTGCACCATCTGGTTTTCCTCCTGCTTCTTGGTTGTGTTTTCTTTACCCTTGACAGCTTCTCTTCCTTCTTTCACATCCCACATCATACAACTGTCCCCCAGGATTTTGGTTTTCAGGTGTCAGCCAGCCTCAACAATTTCAACCATTCCCATCACCAGTCACCTTTCAACCTCTCTTTCTGGATGTTTTCCTCAGCCTCACAAATTTACCATGTTCAAAGTCAAATTCCTTCCTGCCAACTGTCAATTCCTCACTTCTTTATTTCCATTAATGGCATCTCCATTGTGCAATATAACGGCTCTTCACCCTTTTTAGTGTCCAGTTCTTCAAGTTGTGAAGAATGCATATAGTTGTATGACCACCACCACCAAAGCCAAGACATAGAACAGTTCTATCACCCCAGAAAATTTCCTGGTGCCTTTTGTAGCCGCTCCTCCCTTCTCCCTGGGACCTGGAAACCACTGGTCTGTTTTCTGGCTCTAGAGTTTTACCTTTTTAGAACGTCATATAAACGGAATCACAGTAAGTAGCCGTTAAGTCTGTCTCCTTTCACTCACCATAATGCCTTTGAGAGTCATCCATGTTGTGGTATCAGTGGCGTCAGTGTATCAGTAGTTATTCCTCTTTTTGTTTTAGTGGTGAGAAAACACATAACATAAAATCAACCATCTTAACGAGTTGTTTTTTTTAAAGATTGGCACCTGAGCTAACATCTGTTGCCAATCTTCTTTTTTTCCTTCTTCTTCTCCCCAAAGCCCCTCAGTACATCGTTGTGTATTATAGTTGTAGGTCCTTCTATTAACCATTTTTAAGTGTAGGGTACAGTAGTGTTAACTTTATGCACATTGTTGTGCAACTGCTCTCTCGAACTTCTTTATCTTGCAAAACAAACTCTATGGACGCTGAACAACTCCACATTTCCTCCTCCTCCCAGCCTCTCTGGCAACCACGATTCTACTTTCTGTTTCTAAGAGTTTGAATACTGTAGATACCTCATATAAGTGGAATCATGTAGAGTTTGTCTTTTTGTGACTGGCTTATTTTACTTAGCATAATGCCCTCAAGGTTCATCCGTGTTGTAGCATGTGACAAGATTTCCTTTTTTAAGGCTAAATAAATTCCATTGTATGTATATACCACATTTTCTTCATCTATTCATTTGGTGATGGACATTTAGGTTGCTTCCATCTCTTGGCTATTGTGAATAATGTTGCGATGAAAATAGACGTGCAAATACCTCTTCAAGACACTGATTTCATTTCCTTTGAATATACACTCAGAAATGGGATTGCTGGATCGTATGGTAATTCTATTTTCTATTTTTAATTTTTTGAGGACCCTCCATACTGTTTTCTATAGCAGAGTAATTCATTCCTTTTTATTTGTGAGTAGTATTCCATTGTACAGATGTCCCACATTTTGCTTATCCATTCGCCATTTGAAGGACATTTGGGTTCTTTCCAGTTTTAGGAAATTGCTTATATGTAATTATTACTTCTATAGTATTTTCTTAAAGGTTTTCATGTGAACATAATTTTTTATTTCTTTTGGATAAATACCTAGAAGTAGGATTACTGGGTAATAAGATAAGTGTATGTTTAATTTTATGAGAAACTACCAACTGTTTTCGACAGGGGCTGTATCATTTTATATTCCTAACAGTAATATGTAAGAGTTCTGGTTGTTTAGCATCCTCACCAGCACTTGGCATTGTCAATCTGGAGGTTTTAGCCATTCCAATAGGTTGTAGTGCTGTCTCATTTTCTCTTTAATCTGTATTTCCCAAATGACCAATGATGTTGAGTATCTTTTCATGTGTTTATTTGCCATCTTTATACTTCCTTTAGTGAAATGTCTACTCAAATCTTTTGTCCATTTTTTTTAAGTTTTAGAATTTATTTTCTAAAATAAATAAATTTTAGAAAATCACTTTTTTATTGGGTTTTTTTTATTACTGAGTTGTTAAGAGTTCTTCATATATTCTGAATATGAGGTATGTGTTATCAGATACGTGTTTTTGCATATATATTTTTCCAGTCTGTGGCTTGACTTTTCATTTCTTTACTGTTATCTTTCAAAGAACAGAAGTTTTAAATTTTATTCAAAATTTTATCAGTTTACCAGTTGAAAAATGTTATTAATTTATCCATTTTTTCAGTCAATTGTAGTTTTCTACAAATTGTCTTGTATCTCAGTTTACCTACTTCTGAATGCTCACATTTGGCTGTCTCTATTCCCTGCTTGCCTCAGCAGTGTCCCTTTCTATCATTGTTTATAGCTTATGACACTCTCTCACATCTAGTCACTGCTTTGGTCTTCACCTTTGATAAAGTTAGGCAGAGATTCTTTAGATGAGCTTACTGCTGGTGCTCAGATGTTCAAAAAGACTTAACCGTTCCCACAGTAAGGATGAATGGCAGAGCTCTCCTATCTTGAAACTAAAATTGACTTGTTTCCCTCATTCCTAAAGCACATACATTGTACGCCCCCTCTCCCTCTCTCTCCCACCCCTTCTCTTCCCTCTTTCTTTCTCCCTCCCCCCTCCTCCTCCCTCCCTCCCTCCCCTCCTCCTCTTCCTACTCCTTCTTCTTTCTCTCTGTCTGTCTTCCCCCACCCTCCCCACCCTTCTTGGTCGTCATCATTCTCCTTCATCGCCTCACCCCTCCCCATCCTGTCAGTGCAAAGCTGTTAAGGGGAGTTTGGAATGCAGACAGGACTGTGCTTTTCCTGGAAACTGCCTCCCTCTCACGTCTCCAGTCCCTCGAGTCCTCCAACCCTCCTCTGATACCCAGTTATTGCTCAAATCCTATAGTTCCTCAGAAACTTATGCAACTCTCCCCCCTTTTTTGTGAATTTGCCTCCAGACAAACTTATAGCCTAGGCATTTAGGGAGACCTGATCCCAGACAAGTAATCAGCCTCTCAGAACTTTGGTTTCCTCATCCTTAAAGCATCTACAAAACCAATTACATTACAGAGTTGTTATAAGGATTAAATAAAACAATTTTTTTTTTTGGTGAGGAAGATTCACTCTGAGCTAACATCTGTTGCCAGTCTTCCATTTTGTTTTTTTACTGTGAGCTAACATCTGTGCCAGTCTTCCTCTATTTTGTATGTGGGTCACTGCCACAGCATGGCTGAATGGCTGGTGTGGGTCCACTCCTGGGATCCAAACCTGTGAACCTCGGCCACCAAAGTGGAGCATGCTGGTCTTAACCACTACACTATGGAGCTGACCCCAAGATAATCATTTTTTTAAAGGGCATGATGCCTGTGCTCAGCTCATTATATGATACATACTCTCTCCCACCCCCCTAATTCGGGGTTCAGTCTCGGGGTTCCAGGTTGCCAGTGTGCAGTAGCACCTCTCACCTGTTCTTGTTCAGAAGCCTCCTGACTGGTCTCCGTATTGTGGATCACCTCCCCTATTTGTCTAAAGCGTAGTGTTTACAAATGCAATGTCCCGGAGCTCAACTCCAGTCACGTCCCATCGATTTCAGTTTAACCCACTTTCAACATTCACAAACGTCCACAGCATGGTCCTGTTTCAACCTTATCTGTCTGCCGTCCTTTCATGTACTGCACACGTCAATCGGAGTGACCTATTGTCCTGACAGTTCAAAAAAACACGTGAGTACTCTCACCCCTAGGCCCACTGCCTCCATCCAGAATGCTCTTTCTGCCCTCACAGTGCATGTACCTATTAAACAAATTCTCCCTGTTCTTCAAGACCCACTGTACTGTCACTTTCTTCCTAAAGCCTTTCTCATTACCCCACTGTTATCTCTTTGACTTCCACATTTGTACCTCTTTTCTGTTATTGCTCTATATTACAGTTATGATATCTTACTGTTTTATGTGTCAGTTAGTTGCACAATACTCTTAACCCTGTTAAATCAGCTTTGGGGCCTATCCAATAACTTGGACAGTAACCTAACTTGGACAGTAACCTAATCAAGGTTCACTAGATGCTTGTTAAATTGATTTAAATTTTAATGCAAATTCTGGAACTTGAAGGTTAACACAATGAAGTTGTCAGAAGTGACTCCTAGGATTTTCAAGCTTTGAAAACTTTGATTTTGAAAGGCTGCGGAAGACAGCAAAGTTACCTAGTTCCCACCTGGGAAAGAGTTTGTTTCCTCAATTTGGGTCAAGGCAGTCTTAAAGGGTTCTTGCACTTGGGCAAAGGGAAAGAGCCATTAAGGGAGATTTGTATCAACAACTACAGTGCCTGGTTTCTTTCTTTCGGTTGATCGCAAGGTTCAAGGACATGCTTTATTTTCCTTCCCGCTGCATATTACGAGCTACACTTCCTTCTCAGGGTTTTCCTACTCCACCTGTCTGGTCTGCATTCTCCTTCCCCTCCAAGCTTCTTTTTTCTCAGAGCCTCTTTCTCCCCCCATAGGCTTCTCAGTCCATGAGTGTCCTGGAAGTGTTGGCTAAGCAAGAGCTGACTGCCTGGGTCCTCTGCCCTGGCGTGACCCACACATGCTGACTTACCCTCATTGTGTCATTATCACCTTGGCACACGTCCAGGGGGAGATAATGTGTATGACCTGATCTATTCCTAGTGTTTTAAATCAAGAAATTGCGTATTTAGTGCAGTTTAGTAGACCAAGCAAGACCCAAGAGTCAAGAACTCTTAAATGTTTATCCTAGTGTGAATTCATATTTATTGAGGAATTTTTAGAAAGTCTCTTAACTTCCTGGTGTCCCTGCAATCTTCCTGTGAAGTACTGATACAACCGTTTTATACTAATCTCCTACTTTAACATTCTCAAATTACAGTTATTGTATTGAAATTAGTTTTCAGTCGAGAGACTTGCTGCCTAGCAGTTTTATAACTTCTGTTTTTAATATGGATTTTTACTTATACTGACTTAGATCTTCTCTTTTAACATTAACTTTTAGATACCTTACGTTTCTTAAAGACTATTTACATTCATTTGTGAAATCCCACAAATTTAAATTTTGCAAGGCTTATTTGTCTTCTTCTTTTACTAATAATCTAAAATTGTGGTGAAAAGAGAAGGATAGAAAAGAGAAAGATTGGAAAAGAGAAGTATAGAAACATGTTAATGCTTTGATCCATAAGAGAGAACTTGAAGTTCATACTCCACTAACTACAGACGAAATCTTCCTCATCCTGTGGACTTCAGACAGTCTTTTTGAAAACTTTACATTTACTTGTGCTCTAAACTTTATCCAATTCTACTTTAAACAAGTCATAAAAAGTATAGTTTACTGACTGCCTTTAAGGAAATTTTTGCCCGAAACAGCAATAGTACTGAATATTCTAAGCCAAGTTTTAGTTATTAAGACCTACTGATCACCTTTCACATTTGTACAGTCAAACTCCTCTCACATGGACTCTCCCTTCCCTTGTTTGACTAGTGGTCCTTTGGCGTGCTCCTCTGGGAGCTGATGACAAGAGGAGCACCACCTTATCCCGATGTCAACACCTTTGATATAACAGTTTACTTGTTGCAAGGCAGAAGGCTCTTACAACCAGAGTACTGCCCAGATCCCTTGTAAGTAGAAATTCTGACAGAATCCTCTATAGCTCTTATATTCTTTACTTTTGCAGAAATGCTTGCCTTCAAAGGGTCTCTCAGAGCATTTCTTCCTTTCTGAAACAGGTATGAAGTGATGCTAAAATGCTGGCACCCTAAAGCTGAACTGCGCCCATCCTTTTCTGAACTGGTCTCCAGGATATCAGCGATATTCTCTACTTTCATCGGGGAGCACTACGTCCATGTGAACGCTACTTATGTGAATGTGAAATGTGTTGCTCCATATCCTTCTCTGTTGTCATCACAAGATAACGTTGATGGCGAGGTAGATACATGATGGATGGGTACACCACTGGCCCCCTTCTGAGAAACATCACAGAACTGTCCAAACAACAGTCCACCCTTTGTCCAATGTTTTTTCACTGCCTGGCCACTGAAAGGCCACCAGATATTTTTTGCTTCTGCCAAAATTGCACTATTATAGGACCTTATATTGTTATTTAAAATAACTGGATTCTAAGGAATTTCTCATCTGACAAAGCATCAGAGCCAGAAGCTTTGTCCCCTAGGCCAGTGTCCAACGGCAACACTGCAGCTATGATGACACTCCTGTCACAGTCAAGCCAAAACCTGAATTCTGGGTTGAAATTTTTGAAAATCGGGATCTCTCCTGATTTCACATGAGGAACTGAGGCGATGAATTTTGAGGACTTCTTGATCACGGAAAATTCAAAAGAAGCGGTAGTGTCCAGGACATATATGGCAGCCCCAGGACCAGGCCACTCGTTTAGAATTAAAGCGTTTCAAAGAACTTTTATATATTGTATGGTCTCTAACATTTTTTATTACTGATGTTGTCATTTGCCCATTAGGCAAACATTCTCTTTTAAATTTTTGCATACACATTCCTCTTATGGGAGAAATATCCATAGGCAACACAGTCAACATTTCAAAACAACAGGACATGAAATGTGTTTATAAATTAATAGGGATATTTACATATTGTACATAGATGACATGAAGAAGGTTTTCATAAAATAGCTTAGTCACAATGGAATATTTAGTTGTCGTTTGAAAATCAACTGTTTGAGAATGATGCTATTCTGATCTAATGAATGTGGACATTTAGATGTTTTGTCTATATTTTTTTTAAATGACGTCTCTGCAAATAAGACAAGTAATTTGTGATGATAAGTGTGTCTAAGGTAATTCAGCATGTTTTTAAAGCAGAATACATCTGACTAAAAGGTTCATTGGTTCCAAAAACAGCTCTCATATAGGGCAAAGAAATGATCAATGGCCTGGAATATTAGCCTCTTTCTCAAGTGGCAACTTCCTATCCCCAAAACAGTTGGAGACAATAAAGCTTTTGGGGAGTCCTGTTTTGCATTAGGGTATATTTTGTGTTAAGCAAAACACATTTTAGGGGAAAAAAAAGCAATTGAAAGTTCTGGCCATTTCGCCAGGATGAACAGTTACTCTGGGCAGGACTTTTGTGATGTTTTGTTCTGTGGGACTTTGTGCTTACTACTGTATGGTGCATGTGGCACAGGATACTCTAACTGGTTTTGTCAATGTAAACATTTAAAGTATTATATTTTTATAAAAATGTTTATTTTTAATGATATAAGAAAATTTTCGTTAGGCCACAAAAATACTGCACTGTGAACATTTCAGAAAAGGTATGTCAGACTTGGACTAGTAACAGCATGGTTTCAAATAGCTGTAAATAATGATAAGGAAATCTACTGATTGCCAGTACACCCCACCCTCATTACATCACCAGGACTTGAAGCCAAGGGTTAACACAGCAAGCTATAAAGAGAAGGCGTTACACTAAAACCCAATAGTAGAATTGGGCTATTGTTGCAAGAGAGTGATCACAACCAAAAGCTCTTTCACATTGGTGGAACTTACCAGCAGACACAAAGAATTGTACTGCAGAGATATTCCCATTCAAATGTTACTATTTCAAAAGTGTAAAGAGTGATACTAATTCACAGAGTATTGTAAATGGTGGATGACGAAAAAAAAATCTACTCCGCAGAAAGAAATAACTATCTCTACCAATGTCAGGAGAATCAATGCATCAAGTATAGAAAGAACTTATGGAAACAACCCATCAACAAGACTACACACCTGTGTACATATGTTTGAGAAAGCTGCAATGTGAAAATCATGTTTGCTATTTATAAACGTGTCCTTAGATTAATGTGTCTGGACAGATTGTGGGAATAAGTGATTCTTCTAAGAATTAGATACTTGTCACTGCCGATACCTGCATTTGAGCTGAATGGTACTTTGTATGTTAATAGTTGTTGTTTTGATAAATCATACAATTAAAATTAAGTGTTGTATCATCTTGTATACTGAGAGTTGGTTATTGCTAGTCACGCTTGATTGCCTGCTTTTACATAATGACACAGGATGTCTAAGATTGATTTCACCTGGCTGCTTCAAGATGGTCCATTTATGAGAACCTTAGTCAAGTTAATGCATGAGCAGCTAAACTAATTTGCATCCCTGAATCTCTGGAAGCCTTTGGGTTTCTAATTTGGCCCTGAGTTGCCAAATTACTTGCATTTCTCTGACAATCTTTCAACTGCTAGGGCACGTGGCTCCAGCAAAGTGCATCCGTGAACCAGAAGATATGACAACAGAGCTGCAACCCCACAGTTAGCATAGAAATACCTAGTTGAAAGTTGGAGGAAAGAGGCCTTCTTACCCCCTTAAAACTACCCTTTCCATCTATACAGGTTCCCACTGTTCAAGAGCCCCCGGTTACAAGAGCAACTACCTTCAGGCTGTCTCCATGAATATTCTTGTAATGGTAAGAGAACGCAGAGGTGATATTTCGGTCATCTGAGAATCATGTGGCACTTTGGAGCAATCTGATAAAAAAAGAACAACCCAAGTTTAAACTGGTGCTTACAAAATACAATGGGGGCTGATTCTTTACTGAGAGAGAATTCAACCCTTGTACCCAGCCAGACTGCCTCCTGGCCAAGAGATGCATTTCCATCGGAAGTTCAGTCAGACCCTGTGCCTCTGAAGGACAAGAACCTGTATCTTTATATCCCTCATGTCTGGCACGTAGATTCTCAGACAATTGCTGAACTGAAACAGAATTTTCTTATCCTCAATCATCCACTTTAAACCACCACAGATACGGTTATTACCTATGTAGCTCCCATGATGTTTTTTGAACACTGTTGAGGGGCGGGGGTGTACCTTTCTAGGGAGAGAGGGATAAAAAGATATCCTTTTGCAAAGTTTTGCTTGATGCTGTGAATTTTTAATCAACACAGTATCTTTCACTTCACAATGTAGGCATCCATTGTGTTTTTGCTCTTTCTGACCTAGACAGCAGATTGCATCATAAAGAAATATGAGGAAGGGATATAGGGGCCGGCCCCGTGGCTGAGTGGTTAAGTTCACACGCTCCCCTTCAGCCGCCCAGGGTTTCACCAGTTCAGATCCTGGGCACGGACATGGCACCACTCATCAGGCCACGCTGAGGCGGCGTCCCATGTGCCACAACCAGAGGCACTCACAACTAGAATACACAACTATGTACTGGGGAGTTTTGGGGAGAAGAATAAAAAAAATAGGAAAAGGTTGGCAACAGTTGCTAGCTCAGGTACCAATCTTTAAAAAAAAAAAATGAGGAAGGGATATAAAACCTGTAGAGCAAATTAAATGTTTGAATGCTGACTTCTCCCATTGTTGATTGACCCAGTTTAGTTCAGGAAACCAGTTAGCATTATGTAAAAGAAATTGATTAGTATTCATTTAATTCAATTAATATTTATTGAGCATCTACATATGTCAGGCACTGTTCTAGGCAATGAAGACTGAAGAATGAATAGTCCCTCCCACCCCAAGGAATTTAATGAAAGAGACAAACAAAATTACTGCACTAGTGAGTATTAGAATTATCATTTCTTACATTTGTAAACTCTCTTGAAGAGGCTTCACAGTTTATAACTGGAAGATTGTACCTTTTGACTCCCTCCACTCATTTCTCCCACCCTCCATCCTCCTCTCTGGCTACCACCATTATCTTTTCAGTATCTATGAGCTTGGTTTTTTGTGTTTTTGTTTTTTGTTTTAGATTCCACATGTAAGTGAGATCGTACGGTATTTGTCTTTCTCTGACTTATTTCACTTAGCATAAAGCCCTCGAGTTCTGTCCATGTCGTCACAACTGGCAAGATTTCCTTCTTTTTTGTGGTTGAATAATATTCCATTGTATATATATATACCACATTTTCTTCATCCATTCATCCATCAATGTACATTTAAGTTGTTTCCATATCCTGACTATTGTAAATAGTGCTGCAGTGAACATAGGGGTCATATAGCCTTTTAAGTTGATGTTTTCATTTTCTTTGGATAAATACCCAGGAGTAGAATTGCTGGATCATATGGTAGTTCAATTTTTTATTTTTTATTTTTTGCTGAGGAAGATTCTCCCTGAGCTAACATCTGTGCCAATCTTCCTCTAGTTCATATGTGGGTCACCACGACAGTATGGCTGCTGATGAGTGGTGTAGGTCCACACCCAGGAACCAAACCCAGGCCGCCGAAGCATAGCACACCAAACGTAATCACTAGGCCATGGGGCCAACCCCTCAATTTTTGAGTTTTTGAGGAACTGCCATTCCATTTTCCATGGTAGCTGCACTAATTTACATTCTCACCAACAGTGCACAAGGGTTCCCTTTATTCCACATTCTCGCCAGTACTTGTTATTTCTTGTTCTTTTGATAATTGCCATTGTAACAGATGTGAAGTAATATCTCATTGTGGTTTCAGTTTGCGTATCCGTGATAATTAGTGATGTTGAGCATCTTTTCATGTACCTGTTGGCCATCTATATGTCTTCTTTGGGAAAATGTCTATTCAGATCTTCTGCCCATTTTTTAATTGGATTATTTGATTTTTTGCTATTGTGTTATATAAGTTCTTTAGATATTATGGCTATAACTCCTTATCAGATATGTTATTTGTAAATATTTTCTCCCATTCAGTATGTTGCCTTTTCATTTTGTTGATGGTTCCTTTGCTATGCAGAAGCTTTTTGGTTTGATGTAGTGCCAGCTATTTTTGCTTTTGTTGCCTTTGTTTTTGGTGTCAGATTCAAAAAATCATCACCAAGCCCTATGTCAAGATGCTTACCGCCTATGTTTTCTTCTAGGAGTTTTACGGTTTTAGGTGTTACATTTAAGTCTTTGATCCATTTTGAGTTCATTTTTGTGTATAGTATAAGATAGTGGTCCAGTTTCATTCTTTTGCATGTGACTGTCCCGTTTTCCCAACACCATTTATTGAAAAGACTGAGCTTTCTCCATTGTATGTTCTTGGTTCCTTTGACATAAATTAATCGACCATATATGTGTGGGTTTATTTCTGGACTCTCTGTTCTGTTCCATTGATCTATGTGTCTGTTTTTATGTCAATATCATACTATTTTGATTCCTGCAGTTTTGTAATATACTTTGAAATCAGGGAGGGCATCACAGTTTAAACATACCAAAGTGAAGCTTCTTGGGCAAATAGATCAAGTTCTGACTGACTTTGGGCAAAATACTGCACTTCTCTCGACCTAAATTCCTCCCTCTGTCAACTAGGTTAATTCTACTTACTTCATAAGGTTTTTTGAGGACAAAAAACTAGTATGTAAAGGCACCTGCACACCATATAGTTGCTCAATAATTGTGATATTATTATTATCTTCAGTCTCAGACAATAAGAGCCCATCTAAAGTTAGCCTGTGGTTGATTGAAAGGGAAATTAAGCCTGAAAGGGACCTAACAGATGTTTTAATCCAAATCCTTTACCCATCCTTCACCTCATAGCTGCTTTATGCAGTAGTATTTCCACCTCATCCTTGAGTATTGATATGGCAATGCGGGTGGGGGATGACAAGGGTGACAAGATGGTGGCACCTTTCCTCTTAGTGCAGAACACCTGAAGAATACCGCCATCCCTTCTTCTTTCTCCAAACTTCCTACTGTTCCTTTAATCACATCTCTGATAACTAGTTTCCTTTTTTCTGGTTTAGCCTTCAGACCTAGGATCCACAACAGACATGGAAAGGAAGAATCCACCTAAATTATAGGAAAGTTGCATGAAGGCACGATGACAGGAGTCACAATCCTCAGTATTCATGTCTAGAGATTATTACTGTTGCTTGTTTGACTCACATGTATGGTTAATGATCATTCAGATTCAGGAAAAAGTAGACTAAATACAATATTGTTTTAGTTATATGGTGTGTGTTTGAAGATAAGGAAAACTTCATTAATGTTGTAATCCATCTGGATGACTAGGACCAGACATACCCAGGTAACTGCACAGACACGATTCACTCTTGTGGCGCTTTAGACAATTTCAGGAGATAGGTATGCAGACATTATGCCCCAAAGGAAGAAATGCATTGCTTTTCATCCCATGAAATGTTTTTCCTCTTCATACTTGACGTTTTTCTTCAGGACTATCTCAATTCCCTATCTATCAAAAATTGGAAATAACTTCAGTCATAAACCAGTGAAATATTTCAGTTGGTGAATTGAAGGTAATAAAACAAAGGCTTGCCCAAACTGTCCTCTGTTGTAAATTACACCAGAGGTCTAGATTACGTCAGCCAAAGGTATTGATCACCACGCTGAGAGGTTTATAACTACTATTGACTTACCATGTGACCCTGGAGCAGAAATCTAGGAAAATTGCAAAAGCATATCTACGGTAATGAAGAGCCCATCATTAATAGGACTTACTGTTCTGTCAGCCAGCGAGTACTGTGTTGGCTCCAAGGCAAATATTTAACAAATGCTGGAAACAGGAGGAACTTCTGTCTTCTCCCTTCTCTCCTTGCATGCTTCTGAGCTATTCTGATGAATGTGTTTTCCTTCTTATCAATAAAAAGTGTAGATCCAAACATCCAAATAACTCCTAATCCTTTATTATTATTTTTTAACAAAGGGCTAGCTCCTCATATAGACCAATTTAGAATAGGGCTCAGGTCCTATTGTCCTGGGCAGTTAAATGCTACCTGGTTAGGCATTCTGAAAACTAGACAGCATGAAAGAAGCAACTCCAAGCTGAAAATGGCCATATTTAGGATGCTTAAAGAGAAATTTTTAATTTAAACTCTTAACATTATTTTGAAACACTGGATCCGGATTACTATGATAATTAATTTTTATCCTTTTCTTGAAAATAAGCCCTTTGTCTTTATGCATTCACTTTTTCACTGTCACATGTGTACATTCTTTTCACCACATGAGTTCCAGGCTGGCAGAAACATCCACTAATCCTTAGATCTCTGGGCTGGAACGACAAAAATGCATAAAATTTTACCA